TGAAATGAATATTTGCGCTTAACAAACTAAATTTTTTATTTATAGACTAATTGATGTCTGTGCGTAAAGGTTTCCCTATCCAAGAGCGAAAATGAAAGTAGATCCATTATCTCTCATTCTCTCGCAGTAGATGCTCTGTTTAACTGTTTTCTGTGAACTGTTTGCTTGTGAAATGCTCATTTTTTCCACTTAGACTTACTTTGCGTCCTGTAAATAGTGAATGCGCTCTTGGCGTGACGCAGCTGACTCTTAAAGGGAATGGGAGATGAGACTGATTTGTTTATTCTCAAAACACACCTATAACTCATTAAGAAAATAAACTCAACCCTTTTGAACCATGTGCCACGGCGCAAAGCAGATTTCCCGTCCTTAAATTAGCAAAAATGCGTCCTGACACGCCCTGAAAGCGTTTGCGCCCTGCGCTTTGCGCTCTGCTCATGGACCGTCAAAATAGAGCCCTTGATGTTTTGTCTCCTCAGCTTCATTTCATGTGTTAATAATCCAATCCCAATTAGACGCACCTGGGCTAGCTAAGCAATCTCATACTAGGCTTTCTAGAAACATCCGTGCAGGTGTGTTGAGGCGAGTTGGAGCTAACATCTGCAGGACATCGACCTTCCAGGACTGTGTTTGGGCATCCCTGATCTACACAGTCTCTGGGTCAGTGCGTGTAAAGATTTTGCACATCTTCTTGGACAATTTTAATGCTTTCAAACAGTTTTCTGCAGTTATACATCGCCCATGTCTTGAGGTAGTTCATTATGAGGTGATTTACCTTCTGTGTGTGATGTGATTAGACAGGAATCACAGGACTGATTCTTCTAATCCAAATAGACAAGAAATAATACAGTAGTGACGCAGACTGAAGGACAGTAGTGGAGTAAAAGTACCGATACAGCACTAAACATGTACTCAAGGAGAAGTAAAAGTTCACATTTATAAAACTACTCAGTAAATTACAATTCCTGAGAAAAACTACTCGATTACAGTCATCTGAGTGTTTGTAATTAGTTACTTTACACCACTGAGTACTGACGTCATTTATCTCCTATGCGCGATGTCGCAGTAGAATAGCATGCCGAAGGAGGCGAGGGGTACCTAAATAAAACACTCCTATTACTTTAAAAGGTAGATAATTATGCACTGTTCAACTGCTTGTGAGTTTGCTGAACAGTCTTTCATTGACACTGAGGAATGGCATGGCATGAGCCGCTATTTCACTACTAGGGAGAAATGCTGTAAAACTCCATCTCTGCTTCTCTCTTTCTCTCACTTTGGACATTTGACCCGCTGACCTGTTTGTGAGGAAACTTTTCCTCTCCTCTTGGCTGTTAAAGCATTAATTGTGGGTCCAGACACGTGGGTCCACAAAGCATAATTGTGGGTCACAGGTGTGAGTTTTCTCTACTGCGTCTATTATGGATTACCTGTGATAACCGCGTATTAGAGGTCTGCATTCCCGCGGAAGCCGACCAGATTTCTGCGGCGCGGGAATAAATTTCCGAATAAAGCACGGAAGCAGTCGGTAACGGGTTTAATTTGGGACGGGAGCGGGCCTGCAAAAATATCGATCCCGACTCCCGAGCGAGCACGCGTATGTATGTGTGTAAATGAAATAGCGCGGTGCTGTGTTTAGCTTGTTTGTTGCTGTGTGTGTGTGCGTGCGCGAATGAGAGAGAGAGCTTTGTCTGTGTGTGTGTGCTTGGTGCTCGTGTGTGTGTGTGTGTTTATACAGACAGCTTGTTATAGGCTGTCTGGACTCTGTATAGCTGGGTTGTTTTCGGTTTTGTTCTCCCCCCACTTTTTAGCGGGATCGGGCGCGGCGAGTAGAAAGCGGGACGGGTCGGGCAGCGGGACAACAAATGCTAAATGTAAGCGGGAGCGGTCGGGTTCGGGCTAAAACCTGGGGCCTCATGTACTAAGACTTGCGTGGAAATCATACTAAAACATTGCGTACGCACAAAGCTGTAAATGTGCGTACGCAAAAAAAAAATCAGATGCATGAAACACTGCGTACGCCAAATCCCACGCATATTCTCTTTGTACATCCGAATAAACATGAAACGGAGCGCAAAACCCCTCCCTGCCTCCTCCCCCGTATGAATATGCTAATGACTCTACTTTGGCAAAACCCAACGAAAAAGCAATGACAAAAGCAAGCAAAAAGAGAAACTTTGAACAGAATGTGAATTGAAGGTGCTGCTTGCAGAGGTAGACCAGGGGAAAGCGGTGTTATTTGCAAGTTTGTCCTCCGGAATTAACAACAAAAGAAAAAAATAGAGTGGGAGAGTTTAGCTGATGCGGTTAACACAGCTGGGTCTAATAATCACACTGAGTGCATTAAAAAAAAAGTGCAAACAGATGTACTACTCTTAAAAGTCTGGGTGGCGCAGTTCGTAAAACGCATGTCATTATGTTTTGACACGTTCGAGCATGAACTCGGTTCCAATCCAGCATCTGCTGAATTCATTCTTTTTTTTCCCTGCTACATATCAGATTTTGCCAACTATTTATCACGAGGAAAACAAGTAGGAATCATTAATAAGTTTGTGCATCATATTTTATTTGCACATTTATTGAATGGAAATGTTTCTGATTCACGTAAATTCATCTTCAGATAGTGTCTTTATAGCAATGTGCGTGCAGTAGATCGGTACAAGATTACATTGGGAAAACAGGCGACCGCTGCAAATTGCGCTTTAATGTTTAGCTGGTCAACTGTATGGTATGGAAACCTTATATACCTGCTGAACCCGTCTCATACAGCTGCCATTGCAAGGCTCAGACACTTTGTAGAGAGGAATTTAACACAACTGCCTCAAGGAGTCGCCAATGGAAATAAAACAGACACGCACAAAAAATGTGCGTACGCCAGCCATGAAGCCGCCGTGAAGCTGCGCACATTCCCACGTTCAGTTCATCGTTAGTAAGTCCAAACGTGAGCGATTCTGAGCGTGAAACCTGGCGTACGCAAAGTTTTAGTACGTACGCAGCGTTGATACATGAGGCCCCTGGCGGGTGCGAGCGGGAGCGGGATTTAACATTTAGTCCTGCGCAGATCTCTAACCGCGTATTATGCAGTTGTTCATCCCGTGTCACTTATCGGTGAACAGCCCTTTCATTTCTAAAGCCGATTGCAGCTCTTTCTGTTGAGCAGGTGAAGACAATAACCAATTATAGGGGTGTAAGGCTGCGATTGTCAGCGCTAAAAAAGGAAGCGGGGTAATATTGACATGAGTTTATTTGCTGTAAATGCTCGTGCTGTCTTCTGCGCATGTGTTGGAGTTTTGTTTGATACATTCAGAAAGAGTGTTTTCTTTGAGCAGGTCAAATTAAAGGTACAGTTCATATATCTGACTGCTGAATTAAAGGTCAAAATTGTATTACAAATAATATATAAATATATTTATGTTTTAATTAAAAAAATAGTTGTGAAGAAAACATCTAATTATGTATGTAAAGCATCATCAATGCACCAAGATGCACAAAGATGTCGAATTGAAACGAATAGATGGCATGATCATTGTAACCGAACCGTGAGACCAGTGTAGATTCACACCCTTAGTATTTCCATTATCAAACATTAAAGGGTCACGAAACACCAGAACACATGTTTTGAGCTGTTGACAGTGGTATATGTGTCCCACACTGCTAAAAACACTATTAGGACACCTATATTTCACTAAAAAGTGTAAATTGGTTGTTTCTGCGTTATTTCAAGCAAATTCGTACTTCCAGTTTGAAACTAATTTTTGAAGCTGCGTCACGGTCATGAGATAATAGCGTGTATTCCAGCGTGCAGACTGGACGTCTGAGCCAGAGTGTGTCTTATTACGTCTTACAGTGTGCTGCATTAATGCATGAGTAAAGCTTGGCTCAAACCAATCAGCGCGCTCTATTGTGCAACTTCATTAATATTCATTACTGTCACAGTGTTTAGACGACAGAGACGCCACGTTGTGTTGGCAAAACAAGCGTGAAGTGTTGCTTTTATAGTTTGCTGCAGTGAAGTTTTGTTTTCATTTTCTCTCTGTGAGAGCGCAGCTGGAGTCACGTGTGGATTAACAGTGTACGCGACGCTCGACAACAATAACTTACGTGTCTAAGGAGGATTATTGTTTACCTGAGAGCTGTTCTCATCTGCAAACGCTGAGATCCGGATTCGCTTGTAGTCTCCTCTTAATAAAGACGCGGCTCTAGTTGCTGGTGATTGTCCTGTCTCTACAGATTTGGTAAGTGAGCGACCAGTGCTCTTTGTTTATTCAGTTTGTTCGTATCGAACTAAGTTAACTATTGCACCGAGTGTAAACATGTTAGCACCACAACCAAACTTTAACCTCGTGTAGGATTTTCACTGCATTTAGTGACCGGAATAACACACGCGCCTTTCTGACGCTACCTGCTGTGTGCATCTAAGTTTCCGGGAAATGCTGAGGGTATTTTTCTCTCATTCGCCGTGCGGTATCAAACATTGCATGAAAAATACACGCTTAGAGCAGTTCCTCGAATCAAATATCTCGTTTGTCGCGAGGGACATGAATGAATTCCCTGAATGAAAGACGTTAAAGTTCACCATTTAATAATTTGTCAAATAATTCGACTACAGATGTCCATGTAAACACAGTCACTTTCTCCCCTGTGTGTGTGTGTGTGTGTTTTGACTCTGAAAGTCAGCGCGCCCAAATAGACACTCCCACACCATCCCTCTTTTCTTCCTCCAACACTCCCCCCTGAACAGAGCTGGACACGCCCACTTTTCTGACTTTTTTTTAAAGTAGAGGTGTGAAAACACCCTGCTGAAACAAGGGGCTTTCATGGCCCTGTAACTAACACAAATACTGTAATAAATGTACTGTTGATTGTTTGTTTGTTAGTAAATGCACAACCTTACTGTAAAGTGATACTATCAAAATATTCAAATTCACCATCATGTGAACAAACTCCAACAAAACACACTCGCCTTCATAACATCATTAGCAGGAGGAAACCAAACAGAGAGATCAGAAGCACATCAGATTTATTAGCATGTGTCTCAAAAACAACACACATGAACCTCGCTTACTGACGTGTGTGTGTGTGTGTGTGTGTTTCAGAAGAGCGTCACTCAGATCAGTCTGTAAATGACACACACACACACACACACACACTAGCACCTATTTGACCAATCCAATCAGAGTTCAGAAGCAGTCAGTCAAAGGTCAAACGGGTTTGATTCAGTTTAAAAAACAAAAACAGAGCAAACAGGAAGTAGTCCAGCCCTCCTCCGACAGGGCACAGGAAGGAACAAACCTCAGCATACCTTATGCTTACAAATGTATGCGTGTTTGGCTGAAATCAGCAGATCATGAAGAGGATTTAAAAACAATCCTGTTGCTTTTCCTGAAAGTCACTTCCTGCTGGAGGCGGGGCTTTTGTGGAACAGGTAAACAGACCTCTGGAGACCTGAGGACAAACAAAGCAGAATAAAAACCTCAGTGTGAAGTGAAAACTGGAGGAGCGCATGAACAACTGTACAGGTATAAGGAAATATAGCTAGATATGTTTATACAACAATTCTGTCTGGTCCTCGAATCTGATTGGCTGATAGCAGTGCAATATTCTGCAATATCAGCACTCGTACAGCCTCTTCACCCTTGTGTATTTCTCCGCCCACATGGAGTGACAGCAGATGGATAAACTCACTAGATTTTGACAAATATTGCAGCTGTTGGAGAACGTCATGTACTCTTGAGACCTTTTAGCTGAGAATGTAGCTGGTTTAGACTGACACTATGCAGGATAGAGCCTATTTGAAATATGTATAATTTCGGAGATTCAGCGCATCAGCGGCCATTAGCCTATCACTGAGCAGAGCAAAGATGGTTGCGCCACAAGATGGTGACAGAAGCCCTTTTTACACAGTGATACCGGTAAATATCCAGCAAATATCCTGAATGACTTTACCGTTAAATTCAAGAAAGTGCTGTTCACACAGGAGAGGATGTTCTGGAATTTTTCCGGAAAAGACCACTCACACATCCATGTGATGGTTGGCGGGGATGCCGCCTATGTCATTTTAAAATTGTGTTTACAGGGCACCTATGGTGAAAAATCTACTTTTCTAGCTGTTTGGACAGACATGTGTGTAAGTGTACTGTATAGACGTGTCATATTGGGCTGATATATACACACACACTCCTTTTTTTCTCTCTTCAATTTAACAACAAAAAAACGGTGGACCAATTGGAGCGGTTTTCAGACCGACTGCAACTTTATGTAGGAGAGCAGTGCCCCCGCCCACCAATATTGATTGACAGCCTTGCATCACGATCATATCCTCAGTTTCTTGTTGCACGTCCGCCATTTTCAGCGTGTGAGTCAAAGCGATATCATTAAAGGAACACCCTTGCTCTTTTTTTTTTTTTTGATGAAAGGCTCATTGGGCTCAACACAAGATCAATATTCTCTACATTATCGCTGTAATTGGATTTATTGCATGTACCTTTTGCGTGGCGCAGCGCCGTGCATTTCGGAGTTCTGGGCGTGGGTTTCTGTCGAGGTGCACGCGGCAGAGCTCTGGGTCAGCAGCTCGGTGCGGCGTGGGTTTCTGTCGCAGTGCACGCAGCGGAGCTAACTGTGTTCGTAACATTCCTAATGTTCGTTAGCACAAAGACTAGATATTAATGGGGACTTGGAGAAAAACTGTTTATGCACAATAGGTTCTATACACAGTTAGAGTTTTAAAGCCACCGATAACCTTCCGGTGATAGCGTAATGTGAGTATTTTCAATTTCACAAGGTTGTTTTTACAGCATTGATGTTGTAATGTGATTACAATACATTCAGTTGAATAGACTTAAGCATTCATTTAGTCGTTCAAGCGTAAAAATAAATGAACGATGTTATAACAACTAATATAAGCACTATCCTAAATCGGATACGCGGGTCGCCGGATGTGCGGTATGCACATCAATATAGCAGCATTTTTATGACACTGTATGACAATAGTTATTTGTGGTGGCGCAGTAGGTAGTGCTGTCTCCTCACAGCAAGAAGGTCGCCGATTCGAGCCTCAGCTGGGTCAGTTGGCGTTTCTGTGTGGAGTTTGCATGTTCTCCCCACGTTCGCGGGGGTTTCCTCTGGGTGCTCCGGTTTTCCCCACAGTCCAAAGACATGCGGTACAGGTGAATTGGGTGTGCTAAAAATTGTCTGTAGTGTGTGAATGAGTGTGTATGGGTTTCCCAGTGATGGGTTGCAGCTGGAAGGGCATCCGCTGCTTAAAACATATGCTGGATAAGTTGGTGGTGCATTCCACTGTGATGACTCCAGATTAATAGGGACTAAGCCAACAAGAAAATGAATGAATGAATGTATAACAATAATGAATATTTTTACAGTACTGTGATGGTTGGGTTTAGAGTTAGGGTGGGCTTTAAAAAATACAATTTATTGGGTAATTTAATAGATAGCATAAATAATACTCAATACAACTACTGTTTTTACGTTACTGTGACAGTTGGATTTAGGGATGGGGTAGACTTTAATAAAACACAACAAATGTGAAATTTAATAAATAATATAAATAATTCTTGTTAACTTTCGGACGCAACTGTATCCGATCTAGCAACAACCAAAATACCGGGGTAAAACAAACTGTCATATTTTAAAGACATGGCAGGGGGGAAATGGACTTTATTGCAGTGCTTCTTGTCCGATCTGAAACCCACTTCATATCGTATATCTACCAGGCAGTGAAGATCGCTGATTTTGAAATAAATCAGACCTTAAACATGACAATTTTGAAATGGAATGACGTCAACGGAAGCCACTGGGCTGCCTGGCTGAAAATTAAAAGTCCGTGTGCACATGGCTCACTTAGCAAACATGCAGATGTTGCATTAGAATTTGTGAATTTGTATAAATTGTTAAATAGGATAATCTGTAAAACATTTAAAAAAAAAATATCATTTTTGCTATTGGTCTTTAATTTTTAAAGTTACTTATACAAATTAAAACAACTAATTGGAGATTTATATCATCTTTTCCATTTTGAGAAATAGTTACTCTTTACTTTTTACTCATGAGTACGCTTTTAATTAGTTATTTTTTACTTGAGTAGATTTATAGACATGTAACTTTACTTTTACTCCAGTAGAAGATTTTATTACTCTTTCCACCTCTGCTCTTTATAATGATAGAGCAAACTGTGGTTATGTTTATATGAAATTACAATATATTGTTTATTCCTCTGCATTTTAAGTTGTAAACTATAAATCATGCGTCTCCTCACGGTTTGTGTCTGATTTTGTGAGCTAACTGATAACAGTGGTTTGCACCCCTTGCTCCCCTGCACACCCAGTCCTCCCTCTGCTCGCAGCGCTCCACGCTCATCATGGAGCATTTTTTAAAATGGTAGACTTGAACTGGAAGAGGGGGGTTTCATGACCCTTTAATGATTTTTGGCATAAAAGAAAAACGGATCTTCGTAACCGATTTAGTGCAATTTTGCCTACCGACTTAAATAAACAAATGCAGCACAAGCCTGTTTTGTGCTTAAAGGTCAAAGAGAAAATGCAGCATCAAAAAAGTATGATTTTATTGACCTTAAATTAGTATAAAAAAACTAAAAACACACAAACTGAATTGATCTCTTATTAAAGCCCTGCAGAAACCATCATTTTTACTCCTGAACAGTTTGACGTGCCTATTATTAGTCCCAGATGACAAGCTTGATCTCTGTGCAGAAGCTCAGCATCACAGCAGACTCATCAAGAGGAAACGAAACGCTGATCTCAGAGTTTCCAGAGTCTTTCAATATTGTTTACACACATCTACACTTCTTCATTTGCAGGAGTTCAGGGCTCAGTGTTACTGATTTTAACGACTGGTTCAGTCAGGCCAGTTACTCTTGGCCTGTATTCACAAAACAACCCAACCCTTGTGTTCAGATTTACTATCCATTATAATGACATTTTAGAGGCGGCACGGCAGCTGGAGGGCTATCACAGGATGGTGAATAATTTGGACTTCACCAGTAGCTATTATTTGGTCAAGTTGGCTCCAAGCAGTCTATTAAACTCTGAAAACTGGACTGACACAGTTTCAATTTACTGGGATCTTCTATGTGAAGCTGCTTTGACACAATCTACATTGTATAAGCGCTATAGCAGGGGTCACCAAACTTGTTCCTGGAGGGCCGGTGTCCTGCAGATTTAAGCTCCAACTCTAATCAAACACACCTGAACCAGCTAATCAAGGTCTTACTAGGTATACTTGAAACATCCAGGCAGGTGTGTTGAGGCAAGTTGGAGCTAAACCCTGCAGGGACACCGGCCCTCCAGGACCGAGATTGGTGACCCCTGCGCTATAGAAATAAAGGTGACTAGAATTAAAGTAGGTCTATCGAACCTTGCAATTTACAAAATAAGCACTGGATGTATTGTTGTATGAATATTGCGTATGTGTCGTACCTTTAGGGCTGGCGCGGGGCGTCCCGATGAGCTCATAACTGCTGAAACCCACCTCTGCCATCAGGAAGGAGCTGAACTTATCCGGCTTCAGTCGAATACTGCTGTAGTTCCTGCGTGTAACGTCCTGAAAACACAACAACACACCAAACGCCATCAATCAGAGAACATCCACCACATTTACCAGATCTAAGGTCTCGATTACGGATTTCAAGGTAAACCACAGTAAATCCTCTGATGGTTAATTCAGGGCCCGAAATGAACCTTTTTTCTTGGTATCAGTGCTCCTAACTTCCAAAATGTAGGCGCACCAGACAAAATTTAGTCGCACCCACCAGAAATGATGAGCACTGTTACTACACGCTTTGTATGAACAGATTCTATTATATATCAACACTCTAATCACAACTTACAAATAAACACAACCTGCATGCGCTCACCAGCCCTGCACGCCCTGCTTGACGTGAATGAGATGAACTGAATTAACAATAACTGTGCTGTTCTCACGGGTGCTGTCTGATATTGAACAGATGATATTGACATAGAGCTTATTATTTGCATACCTCATCTTAATATATAACGGTCTTTTCATGATCTGCAATATTGGTTTCATCAGTGAATGCATGCTCTTTAGCGTTGGTGAACGCAGTGTCAGTCACACGATTGATGATTAAATGAAGGATTAAATAACGTTAGAGCATCTCGTGCTTAATGTGTAGACTCAGTGGCAAACACTGTTACCTGAAAACTCCCTCACACTGGCTATATGGTGAATGCTTAAGTCATTTTCACAGCCGACTTTAAACACTGGAAGTCTTTTATCCACTCTTAGAAAAGTGCAAATGCTGGATTGACATTCAGCACATGATCACTGATCAGATGTGTCATTATTAGTAACTTTAGGTGGTTTCTAAAACTAATTCTGCCAGTGTTGTTTTCATTCTCTTTAATCCAGACCTTTACATTTTCTAGCTGTGGCACCCTGTCATTGGAGTGATTGACAGCTGATGTTAACCAATCCATTCGCATTCTGTTCTAGCGCAGTGGGCCAATAAGAAGAGCTTAAAGGCGGGGCAAGCATTGCAGGCTTTGTTTACTGCAGCAAGTTGACATGTGAACTGTTTTAAACCATTCCTGAGCACTATGTTTGGTGTTTTTAGGTGTAAAGATGCTTAATGCGTGAATGCCTCCTAAATCCGCACATGTGCTGAACATTTTGCTGTGAAAACTAGTTGCACGACATCAATTTTATGCAGTCGCACAAATGCTCCCAATTATATTTTGAGGTCGCATGGATAAATTTAGGGTGTTTTGTTATGCGACCAAAACAGTTGCATTTTCAAGCCTTTTTAATATTACGGTTTCTAATTTTCATTCATTCATTTTCTTGTCGGCTTAGTCCCTTTAATATTCCGGGGTCGCCACAGTGGAATGAACCGCCAACTTATCCAGCAAGTTTATTTTTACGCAGCGGATGCCCTTTCAGCCGCAACCCATCTCTGGAAAACATCCACACACATTCACACACACACTCATACACTACGGACAATTTAGCCTACTTAATTCACCTGTACCACATGTGTTTGGACTGTGGGGGAAACCGAAGCACTCGGAGGAAACCCATGCAGAGGCAGGGAGAACATGCAAACTACACACATTAACGCCAACTGACCCGAGGCTCGAACCAGCGACCTCCTTGCTGTGAGGCGACAGCACTACCTACTGCGCCACTGCCTCGCCTCTAATTTTCATTATGACTAAAATAATTGAGAAACAGCCCTCATTAACTGAAATGGCCTCAGTTCATTCGTCACAGTTGAAATGCAGTTTAGTTTAATTCAGTGTAATAATGTAAAAGGCAATGCTGAAAGACTGAAGAGCACATCCAGTGCACGGCTTTAACCCTTTCACGTGTGAGTTTTCAATGCTCCAGCTGACTCTCCTACATGAGTGTTCTCCAGCCTCCGATGCCTAGACTGCAACTCTTCACAAGATGTTTGGCCAGAGGAGAAATGGTTGTGCATTCACTTTCGTCAGTTGCTGAAGTTTGCTCCTCGCCACTGGCTTGTTTGGTTTGGGACCTACAGAGCTGTGCATCGATGAACTTAAAAAGTTCAGTGTGGAAAATTAAACCACACTGAACTGAACTTCAACTCTGAAAACTGAACTAACACGTTTCAATCTACTAGAACTTCAGTGTTCAGCTGCTGTGACAGAATCTACATTATAAAAGTGCTCTGGAAATGAATTGAATTTGTATATATATATATATCGTATTTTGCTTCTTTTTGGCCTTTTCTGTAAACATTGACAAAAGTTCAATTTATATTGTGAAATTTCTGATCCTCAAATATGTGATAGAACATACATTTCGTCTTTTAAACAGCTTAATGATACTCATATTACTTGTTATATGATGGGAAACGGTTGCCGTCGTTGTTACTGTAAGAGATGCAGCGACAATTGGAAGATAACCAAGTTTTCATTTTACTTATAAAATACAATTCCTGTGTAATTTTAGCATCTACCCCTACCTCAACCTTAAACCCAACCCTTACTGTAATGTAAAAACGGTATTTGTTGTAGTGTCACAAAAATGATGCTATACTGAAGTGAGTATCCTCATCTGTATCGCATCTAGACTTCACACTCTCCTGCAGCACGGTAAAGTCTAAATAGGATACAGCTGAGGATACTTCTAATTAACTTCTGATTGCAGCTGTATCCCCTCAAGCAAAAACCACAGGAGAGATCCGAGCTGCTGGATTTAAGTCATGTTTATCCATAATTTTCTTCTGAAATTCATGAAGGTAAGCAACTGTTTATCTGGGAATAGAGAAAATATTCTAGTAACATAAACAGTGTGTATCTTACTTGAAAAAAGCACAGTTATATTGAAAAATAATTATTATTGCCATCTTGATAGACATCAGCATATATTTTACAAATAGTAAATGGTAAGTTTTGCTTGTAGTCATGTGTATTTGAATGTCTGACAGCACGAAAAAATTGTTATCTGACAAGTGCTGCGCACCTCTTGCTGTGGCTCAGCATGCGCCGTCAGATTAATTTTGGCAGTTGATGACGAGCGCTCTGAACATTCTAATCACACCAGTGTGATCATATGCTTCAGGGACCAGTCAAGGCTGATCACACCAGTGATCATACGCTTCAGGGACCAGTAAAGGCTGATCACACCGGTGTGATCGTACGGTTCAGGGACCAGTCAAGGCTGATCACACCAGTGTGATTATACGCTTCAGGGACCAGTCAAGGCTGATCACACCGGTGTGATCGTACGGTTCAGGGACCAGTCAAGGCTGATCACACCAGTGTGATTATACGCTTCAGGGACCAGTCAAGGCTGATCACACCGGTGTGATCGTACGGTTCAGGGACCAGTCAAGGCTGATCACACCGGTGTGATCGTACGGTTCAGGGACCAGTCAAGGCTGATCACACCAGTGTGATCATGCGCTTCAGGGACCAGTCAAGGCTGATCATGCTGGTGTGATCGCATGGTTCAGGGACCAGTCAAAGCTGATCACACCAGTGTGATCGTACACTTCAAAAACCAACCAAGGGCGATCATACATATGAAACGGTTAAAGTGCTCTAGTGTCTGTGTAACTGTGTTTGCACTCGGTAAACCGCAGTGAACTGATGACCATCACAGCCAATGACAATCATTTCTGTTGAGCAAGTGAACACAATGGCCTATAAGCGGTGTTTAAGAACAGGCTCAACAGCACTTACATGATAGCAGGAAATGGACGTTTTTAAAATTTATCAAATTCAATACTTTTGACAACACTAGCTTGTGTGTGTGCGTTACCGTCAGTCTCTTGTGGCGGCTGTATGAGCTCCAGGGCTGCGGTTCGAGGATCAGCACTCCTCCAGGTAACAGGTGTCTGTAGATCCGCCCAAACAGCCTCTGAATTCCAGCGTCGCCATAGTTCAGGTGAACCCACTTGGTCAAACTCAGACACAGAATGACATCATACTCCGCGCTCTGTGACACCACTTCCGCATCACTGTCCGGCACATAATCGCCCTGCAGGACATCCCACAAACACACACACACGTTTATAATGGACTGCACAATATTGGAAACGTCTGCCATTACGATATTTTGTTTTATATATTGCAATATGAATATAATTACACCAGATGATTTTAGTAGCTCTTTTTAGAAGGATTTCATTTATTTATACTGGTATGAGTCTTCTTCTGTGCAGTGCATTTGCATATATATTATAATAACTATGGCAGCACGGTGGCTCAGTGGTTAGCACTGTGGCCTACGAGCAAGAAGGTCTCTGGTTCGAGCCTCGGCTAGCTCAGTTGATATTTCTGTGTGGAGTTCGCATGTTCTCCCCGTGTTAGGATGGGTTTCCTTTAGGAGCTCCGGTTTCCCCCACAAGTCCAAACACATGCGCTATAGGGGAACTGATGAACTAAATTGGAAGTAGTGTATGCGAGTGTGTGTGAATGAGGTTGTATAGGTGTTTTCCAGTAATGGGTTGCAGCTGGAAGGGCATCAGCTGTGTAAAACATGATGGAATAGTTGACGGGTCATTCTGCTGTGGTGACCCCTGATAAATAAAGGACTAAGTCAAAAGAAAACGAATGAATTAGTTATAATAAATTACAAGTATATAAACATGGCATTCGTGGTTTTCACAAGTCTAGCACAGAAATTAAACAATCCAACCTAAAATAACAGGGTCATAATTGTATAAAGGAATTTTTAAAGATAAAAACTTTATGTTTTAATCTTTAATAAATAATGTAATCCTGTGATGTGACTATTGCGCATATGCACGATCGATGCTCAAACAGATATATTGTTCAGCCATGGTCCCCATGAATCTCTGTGCATTCGGGTTTAAAGGGAAACTCAGTTCACCCCAAAATAAAATTCTGTCATCTTTTCCTCATCCTCCACTTGTTCCAAACCTGTTTGTGTTTCTTTCTTCTGTTGAACACACATGAAGATACACTGAAGAATGCTCCGAAAAAAGAACAGCTATTGACTTGTACAGTTTTTTTTGTTCCTTCTATGGATGTCAATGGCTCCTTTTCCCCCCCATCGTTCTTCACAATACCTTTATTTGAGTTCAACAGATGAAAATCAAACTGGTTTAAAAGAAAGAAATGTGCGTTATAAAAAAATAGTAATAAAATAGTGTGAGTAAATGAGGAAATTTGCTGTTTTGGGTGGTGTCCCTTTAAGTCCCCACCAGGATATAAAAACATGAACACACACACACTCAGGGGCATGTCAAAACCTGACACTAAAGGAAGGTGTGGCTGAACACACACACAGACACACACACACACACACACACAGACACACACACACACATAACTCTGTCTGCATGACTAGAAATACTCAAGATAGGAAGCCTTGTTTTGCAGGGAGCATGAACAGTATAAATAATGGATACCAGAGGGTCCAAAATACATGAAAACATGAATAAATTAATATTAATAATAATTAAAAATATATAAATAAAGAAAAATAAATATGAATAAAAATAAATAAAATTATATATATATATATTTTATATAATTGTAAAAATAAAATATATTATAAAAATAAATAAAAAATAACATTTAAATAAATATAAATTTTTATATTTATAAATTATTAAAAATGTTAAATGTTATTTTTTATTTATTTTTAATTGAAAGAAAGAAAGAAAGAAAGAAAGAAAGAAAGAAAGAAAGAGTGTTAGCATGAATCTGAAACAGGCTTAAAGTCTGCTTAAAGCGGATGTTTCACTTCCTACAAACTTCAGTGTTGTGACTTCTCTGGCTACTGAAGTGTAATATTCAGAAAGGGCGGGGTTTACATTGGAGGGGCGTAGCTATGAATGTTCTGGCCAATCAGTCAGACTGACATCAAAAGAAGGTGGAGATTCCAGAGCGGAAGCACATCCTCAGATTCTGATCAAAGATGAACGACACTAACAGTCCAGTTGAATGTCCTGACATATTTAATTTCATTTAATTTCTGTTATTATTTTAATTTGAACAAACTATTTGATGGTTTTAGCTTTAGTTTTAATAAACATTTATCACTCTAGTTTATGGTAAGTGAGATTTAAACACACAGACTGAGAAATGCTGCTTATTCAAATGCAAATTTTCAATCCAAAAATTCAAAGAACAAACGGATTTTTCATTTTTTATAAAGCTACACAGAAATATTTTATATTTAATATAAATTTATAAAAAACTTAAATATTAAATAAGTTAATAACAAAAAATGTCCTATTATTTTAGAGGTGATTGTGGTAATTGGCTGGCTGGCGGCGTGGCATCACACGAAGCTGTTACGGGTCTCCATTAAACTGTATGGGGAGACTCAACACATTGTAATAATAAACGTTGCCTAATATCAGATGTCCAGAAAGAGATTCATTTTTAAAAAATTGTTAAAATATTGGTGTCTGTGATGCAGCATGTCCAGAGACTGTTGTGTACACCACAATTTAATATAAAATTCACTTTAATGTGTGATATGACTAAAATGGTCAGGAACAAATCTTTTCTCTAAGAAATAATTGCAATTATGCAATTAACTGTCCAATTGTCCGCACTGACGCTTAATAGTCTGTTTTCAGGGTCCATCCAGAAATCTAATATGTGGCCAAATAATAATAATATAGGGCATGTAAAAAAAATTCTAGGAAATATTTTGATCTTATGTGCATAAGTACATTTCTAATAATTGCAAATGAATTTGTAAACTGATATTTTTCCAATATTTTGTAAAAAAAAAGAGGTGTTTATGTTATTTTATATATGTTCATGATATAGACAGATGGGTTGATGGATGGATGCAGATAGAAATATAGATAAATAGACAGACAGATAGAAATATGATAGATAGACGGATGGATGGATGGATGGGCAGACAAGACGGACGGACGGACAGAGATAGATAGATGGATGGATGGATGGATGGATGGATAGAGATAGAGAGAGATGGATGGATGGATGGATGGATAGATGAATGGATGAATAGAGATAGATAGATAGATAGATAGATAGATAGATAGATAAATGGATGAATAGATAGATAGATAAATAGATGAATGGATGAATAGAGATAGTTAGATAGATAGATAGATAGATAGATAGATAGATAGATAGATAGATAGATAGATAGATAGATAGATAGATAGATGGATAATAGATAGATAGATAGATAAATAGATGAATGGATGAATAGAGATAGATAGATAGATAGATAGATAGATAGATAGATAGATAGATAGATAGATAGATAGATAGATAGATAGATAGATAGATAGATAGATAGATAGATAGATAGATAGATGAATGGATGAATAGAGATAGATAGATAGATAGATAGATAGATAGATAGATAGATAGATAGATAGATAGATAGATAGATAGATAGATAGATAGATGAATGGATGAATAGAGATAGATAGATAGATAGATAGATAGATAGATAGATAGATAGATAGATGAATGGATGAATATAGATAGATAGATAGATAGAGATAGATAGATAGATAGATAGATGGATGGATGGATGGATGGATGGATGGATGGATGGATGGATGGATGGATAGATAGAGATAGTTAGATAGATAGATAGATAGATAGATAGATAGATAGATGAATGGATGAATATAGATAGATAGATAGATAGATAGATAGATAGATAGATAGATAGATAGATAGATAGATGAATGGATGAATAGAGATAGATAGATAGATAGATAGATAGATAGATAGATAGATAGATAGATAGATAGATAGATAGATAGATAGATAGATAGATAGATGAATAGAGATAGATAGATAGATAGATAGATAGATAGATAGATAGATAGATAGATAGATAGATAGATAGATAGATAGATAGATAGATAGACAGATAGATAGATGAATGGATGAATATAGATAGATAGATAGATAGATGAATAGAGAGATAGATAGATAGATAGATGAATGGATGAATAGAGATAGATAGATAGAATCCATATATAGAAATATAGACAGATGTTTGTGTGTGCAAAATCCAAACATTAATTATACATACAATAACACACACACACACACACACACACACACACACACACACACACACACACACACACACACACACACACACACACACACACGTCAGGAAGATCTGCTGCTTCAGCTATGTTAGTGTACCTTCAGGAAGCAGACGTTGCTGGGGAACTGGCCTAGAGACTGATGCATTATGGGAGGAGCGGCGATGGGTCCGCGGCAGCGCATGAAGGAGACAGGAAACCTGGGTAACACCAGCTGCAGGTCCATCAGCGGCACCAGCCCCGTGACCTCTGACCCCTCACCTGCTCCCGCCTGCTGCCTGTCCTGCAGCTCCGACAGGAAGTGGCGCAGGTTCTGGCGGGCGGCTTGCACCAGCGCCCCATCAATGTCCAAGCCCAGGATGTGGGCGGGGCTGCAGTGTTTGGCGATGGCAAGGGTCACATGACCCGTGTTACAGCCCACATCTAGAACTTTTTTTCCAGAGAACCATTCGGGATTAAAAAGAGCCAATCGTGGGTCGGCGGTCATCGATGGTGTGCGGTAGCCATAGTAACGGCTGTAGGCTCCATTATGGTATTTGCGCCGCGGCCTGCGCTGCTGTTCATGGCTTCGCTCCGCCCCCAAGGGAGGAGCTCCGCTGGCTCCGCCTATAACTGGAGTGTGAAAGGTTTGAGTGTGTGTGATTAGCCGCTTGGTGGGCGGAGTTGGTGTGATTGACAGGCGAGAGTCCGAGCGACTGACAGTTCGTCTGCGCTTCCGATGTTTGGACGGATGGGGCGCAGAGGCGGACCTAGAGAGTAATTGAGGGGCGGAGCTAGACGCAGAGGGGTGTGACTTACGCCGTGGCAGAATAGGTTGCACCACTTCATCGCGGCAATTAATCGACGTGTTGAGCTCATACGGACGCGGCGACTCCTCGACAGGCGGAAGAACGGCACTGTTCGCAGCTTCTTCAGGATTAGCTACAGGAAATAATGTCGTTTCATTGGTTTTTGACTTCTCACAATCTGATTGGTCGGCAACGCCTGTGGTCGCTCCAGGATGATGGCGGTTGCGGTGTCTGCGTCTGATCTTCATTGGAGAAACCAACACACCGGCAGCCGAATCTCCGCCCCTGCCACTTAAATTCAGCGGGTCTGTAATATCTTTCGGGATGAGAATCTCCACCGGGTCTCGGTTTTTAGAGGGGAGTGGCGATGATTTGGGCGTTTCGGCATTAAGCGCTTTACTGACCTCCTCGTCCAATAGGCTGTTGAGGTTTAACGGATCAAATATATTCCCGCCCAGCAGGAAGTTAGTAGGAAGCACAGGATCGCATTCAGAATTGGCGCGGCGTCTTCGCTTACCGAGACTCGGATGTTTGAACGCCACGTTCATACTGTAGCGCCGCTTCTGCGCCAGTTTCTGCGTCTGCACTTCAGTTCGAGTTTGTAGGCCATTTTTAATCTGAAAGGGCCCCTCGGCGGTAACCCCATCCTGTGGGGTCACGTGATTGGCTGCGAGTTCGGTTAGCACAATGTTAGCGGTCACCTCATCTTTAATGGTCTGCAGTGGGGACGGCGGGTGGGCCAGTAAACCTGCTGCCCCACCAGCAATAGGAAGCTCACTTTGCACTGACATCACAGTAGACATCCATCAGCCGCTGGAAACACAGAAACACACCATTCAAGTACAATATACAAGATATAAATGTGTGACGCTTGCAGATGAGTACTTACTTGACTACTCTGAGCCTGCTTTCTGTATAGTTTTATGGGCACTGATGTGCTTGTGACCCACGTGTTACATTTGGCTCATCTAACAGCTCCACGGCGCGTTAATTTGACTAACTCCGCCTATGGGCGGGGCTACCGCGACGCTCATGAATAATGCAACGGAAACGCGACTCTCGAAAGCTCCCCCCCTTTCCGACACAAACGCACACGTCCGTTAACACAGACACACACACAGTACTGAGCGAGATATTTTCTCCGGCTCTCTCGCGCTGAAAGTAAACACGAACGCCAAAAATCAAACAAAAACAGCGCACACGACACACTATGTACACAGACCCGCGCTCATTAGAGCTACGTAAACACACAGCTGCACTTGACTAGCGCTACTGCAGATATGAAAAACACTTTGCTAAAATGGTGCTGATTAAAAATAGACTTTGATCTGTCGAATGTTCATGAGCGCTTGAACTCGCAGTGCTCCATCTCGCCCTGTGGCACAGCAGACCAGCGCGCTTATATATTCCACCACAGACCAAGCCTGACGGACAGCCGCGTCTGCCAATCAGAAAGCGCGATATACGTTAAGGCCCCTCGAACAACCAATGGCGGAGCTTTAAATGAAGGCATGTGCTCGCAGTCACCGCCCCTCCTCTTTTAATAGGTATCCAGCGGACTGCCTGAATTGACCCGTTAGACACTAAATATTATCGTCAAAATCAGTAAAATATAACAAATTGACGACAAAATGCATTTGTTTATTTAACAAGAGTATGTGTTTGAGCAGAATCCCATAATTCTGCTTTGGAGAACGTTCGGGAACTCGAAACAGGCAGTCGTCACATGTGTAAACAACCCCTGTGAGAGTTCTTCCGCGCTGAATTTACGCTTATAACAACGACTAATGATCGGATAACTAATAAAACATGACTTATGTCATATTAGCATTTTAATTCGTATGGAATTAGCGCCTCTGCGAGTTTTAAAGAGACCCTCCCACTCTGCTGCAGGAGGAGGAGACTTCTGGGAGATGTAGTCCTTTTGATCTGAACCTGTTGCCAAAAACAAGAAAATAACAGCATAATATGATTCATAATTTTGATTATTGTGAAAGAAAACCCGCTTGAGTCAGTGGATTCAGCGTATGCATTATTAAATCATTATTTTTGTTTGGCAGGACTGGTGTAAATGGCCTAAATTACGCACATTTAGCTTATTTAAAGACAAGAAAAGAGAGAAGAAGAGATAGCTAACTAAAGGTATAGAAATATATTACAATAAGAGTGTCATATATGTGACCCTGGAACACAAAACAAGTCATAAGTGTTGAGTTTTAGAAAAATAAGCTGAATAAATAAGCATTCCCCTAGGTATGTCTTTTTTAATGCCAAAATGAACTATTTTTGATAACATATGAATAAATTAAAATGACTATTCTGAAATTTGAAGGTAGATAATGGTATTATACACTGAGAAAATCACCTTTAAAGTTGTCCAAATTAGGGTCTTAGCAATGTATTTTACTATTCAAAAAATGAGTTTTGATATATTTACAATATAGACATGTATAAAACGTCTCGATGTATGATGATGATCACTTATACTAATGATTTTTGGCATAGAATAAAAAATAATTTTGACTAATTCAATGTATTTTTGACTTCTCCCCTACATATACACTCACCGGCCACTTTATTAGGTACACCTGTCCAACTGCTCGTTAACGCAAATTTCTAATCAGCCAATCACAAGGCAGCATGTGCCAACAATGCCTTGTTGATGCCAGAGGAGAATGGCCAGACTGGTTCCAGCTGATAGAAAGGCAACAGTAACTCAAATAAGCACTCGTTACAACCGAGCTCTGCAGAAGAGCATCTCTGAACACACAACACGTCCAACCTTGAGGCGGATGGGCTACAGCAGCAGAAGAGCACACCGGGTGCCGCTCCTGTCAGCTAAGAACAGGAAACTGAGGCTACAATTCACACAGACTCACCAAAACTGGACAATAGAAGATTGGAGAAACGTTGCTGCTCTGATGAGTCTCCATTTCTGCTGACACATTCAGATGCTCGGGTCAGAATTTGGCCTCAACAACATGAAAGCATGGATCATCCTGCCTTGTATCAGCGGTTCAGGCTGGTGGTGGTGGTGTAATGGTGTGGGGGAGATTTTCTTGCCACACTTTGGGTTTATTAGTGCCAATTGAGCATCAACGCCACAGCCTACCTGAGTATTGCTGCTGACCATGTCCATCCCTTTATGAGCACAGTGTCTCCATCTTCTGATGGCTTCTTCCAGCAGGATAACGCAGCATGTCATAAAGCTCAGTCATCTCAGACTGGTTTCTTGAACATGACGATGAGTTCACTGTACTCAAATGGCCTCAACAGTCACCAGAGCTCAATCCAATAGAGCAGCTTTGGGATGTGGTGGAACAGGAGATTGGTATCAGGGATGTGCAGCATCACTGTCCTTCATTGTCCTGTGACCCCTCGGGAGGTCCCGACCCCCACTTTGAGAACCATTGAGTTAGATCAACTTGATTATTAGGATCAGCTGTGTTTACATACGATATTATAGTGTGTGTGTGTGTGTGTGTAGTTGAACAATGATATTATAGTGTGTGTGTGTATGTGTGTTTGTGTGTGTGTAGTTGAACACTGTTATTGTGTGTGTGTGTGTGTGTGTGAGTAGTTGAACACTGTTATTGTGTGTGTGTGTGTAGTTGAACACTGTTATTGTGTGTGTGTGTGTGTGTGTGTGTGTGTGTGTGTGTGTGTGTGTGTGTGTGTGAGTAGTTGAACACTGTTATTGTGTGTGTGTGTGTGTGTGTGTGTGTGTGTGTAGTTGAACACTTTTATTGTGTGTGTGTGTGTGTAGTTAAACACTGTTATTGTGTGTGTGTGTGTGTGTGAGTAGTTGAACACTGTTATTGTGTGTGTGTGTGTGTGTAGTTGAACAATGATTTTATAGTGTGTGTGTGGCTGAACACTGTTATAGTGGTTTGTGTGAGTGTAGTAGAACACTTATAGTTAGTGTGTGTGTGTTTGTGTGTGTGTGTGTGTGTGTGTGTTCAAACAGTGCTGCTTCCTGTTGTTGCACCAGGACACAGATTGAGTGAGTACAGGACACACACACACACACACACACACACACACACACACACACACACACAACAATAAACAGACACACACTAACACACACCCATGTTCGCAGATATGTGAGGATAGAAAACAGGAAATATGAACAATAGACTGGCAAACTCAAACCTGTGTGTGTGTGTGTGTGTGTGTGTGTGAGAGGAAGTGATCATTGTTCCAGCAGAAGGAGAGAAAGGCAGATCCTGAGAGCCTCCAGTGGAGTTTGAGTGTGAATCTCACCGGACTGTAATGGACACACACACACGATGATGAAGATGAAGACCCACAGAGACAGCCGGTAAGTCACACACACACACACACACACACACACACACACACACACACACACACACACACACACACACACACACACACGAGCGACTCTACGCTCTATAACGAGACGTTTGGTTAATTACACAACAGCCCGTTAGTGCAGGAGACAATGAGAGATTAGAGGAAAAGAGGTCAGCAGATTTAATCTTCATATAGAAACACAGTCATCTGCTAGATCACATCTGCTGAACACACACACACACACACACACAGGTTTGATGATCTGTGTGTCAAATTCAGTTCATCGAAAGCTGATTAGGACAACAATACTGCCACAACAAAACAAAAGGAGGAGATTTTCTATATGGGGCGGCACAGTGGCTCAGTGGTTAGCACTGTCGCCTCACAGCAAGAAGGTCACTGGTTCGAGTCCGGGCTGGATTAGTTGGCGTTTCTGTGTGGAGTTTGCATGTTCTCCCCGTGTTGGTGTGGGTTTCCTCCAGGTGCTCTGGTTTACCCCAGTCCAAACACATGCACTATAGGGGAATTGATGAACTAAATTGGCCGTAGTGTATGGGTGTTTCCCAGTACTGGGTTGCAGCCAGAAAAGGCAATCCCCTAAAAATGTAATTGCGGTTCATTCCACTGTGGTGACCCATGATGAATAAGGGACTAAGCTGAAGGAAAATGAATGAGTGTTGTTTGTTTTGTCGTGAGCTCTGTTATGTCAAGTTCGAGAATGTGTACACTGTATCACACACTACAAATGTTCAGTTATTTATTTAACCCAATGGTTGAGTTAAACATATATGGTGCTTGTTGGGTTATTTTTTTAGCTTTATTAGGTTACATATTAATAACTCAACCAGTTGGGTTAAAAATGTGCTGTTTTGTTGGGTTATACATACCCACCTGGCATGGAAATAGCACCAGCAGCAATCACAAAGGCCTACATAGGATTGTGCGAACTGCTGGACTCGTAGTAGGAGGTGAGCTGAGAGGGGTCTGGCTGCAGACCTAGTGCAGTGCAATCTGGGCTGCATCCAATGCTTTTTAATGGGCTCACCTAACCCCACCCCTACCCGTCACAGTGACGTCACTAGCTCCATTTGAGTGCATTGTGTCTGACATTGCATCAATGAGTGATGCAGTCTCAGCTTGCATCATAAAGGCTGCATCCAGATACTATTGGGTGAGCTTCCCTCTCTCCAGGACATCTACACCAGGCGGTGCATGAGGAAAACCGAGAGAATTATCAATGACTCCAGCCACCCAAGCCGTAGACTTTTCTCTCTGCTACCCTCAGGCAGACGGTTCCGCAGCATCCAGTCACGCACCAGCCGACTGAAGGAAAGCTTCTTCCCTCAGACTATCAAGCTGATGAACACTTAACACACCCCACACAGACTCTTCCACAGCCTCACTGCACACCATCAAAATGTAGCATGCACTGCACTTTAACCAATCCATACTTTAAACAACACTGCCAACAACTATGTGGACACCTATTCATTGTACATATCACTGTCAATTTCACATTGTCGCTGTATTTGCACTGTCTGGAGCCAGCACCTAAGCTTTTCACTCATCATAGCGCACATGCTGATGATGATGCGTCAATAAAAGTGATTTAATTTGATTGGGTTATTTATAACCTTTATTTGGTTATTTATATTATAACACAACCAGTAGGGTTAAAATTGAGTTGGGTCAACAGATTTAACTGACACAGAACAGCTGTATTAATATGTGAGCGTAATGTTGTTTTTGTGTTATAACAGTTAAGCTCCAGCACAGTAATATTGTTTTAGTTTTATTAAATGACCTCTCCTTGTCGTGTTTTTTATATCCGTTTCACCAGCACTCTTAATTATTGATGATGCAAATGCGCACTTCATAGCCGATCTATACTTTATGAAACTTTACGTAGTGTAAAGTTCATAACTACTTTATGAAACTATACTTTACGATCTATATATTATGAAAAATACCCCAACATAAAACCCAACTATAGATTATTATAGCACCTTCCCAACTATGGGTTATTTTATCTCAATGCACTGGGTTATTTTGATTAAACATTATTTTTTTACATTCTAGTATTACTACTACTATTCATTTTATAATTATGGCTGTGTAAATAAATAAATGTCTCCGCTGTGTCCTAAAGACGAGAATGACGGTCAGATATCCCAAATATGTGTATGATTTCTTCAAAACAAACAAACTGTAGAGATGAACACGTGAGGTAGAGAAAGTGTTTTATCTAGTTAATATAGATCAGCTATGAAGTGTGCATTTGTATCATCAATAATCAAGAGTGCTGGTGAAACCTATGTAAAAAACACGACACGGAGAGGTCATTTAATAAAACTAAAACAATATTACTGTGCTGGAGCTTAACTGTTATAACACAAAAACAACATTACGCTCACATATTAATACAGCTGTTCTGTGTCAGTTAAATCTGTTGACCCAACTCAATTTTAACCCAACTGGTTGAGTTATAATAACCAAATAAGGGCTTTAAATAACCCAACAAAGAACCAAATATTTAACCCAACTGGTTGAGTTATTAATAATTAACCTAATAAAGGTTAAACCTAGGATCCAGGAGGGACAATGTGGTTTTCGTCCAGGTTGTGGTACACTGAACCAGCTCTACACCCTCACCAGGGTGCTTGAGGGTTCATGGGAGTATGCCCAACCAGTCCACATGTGTTTTGTGGACTTGGAGAAGACATTTGATCGTGTCCCTCGTGGCATTCTGTGGAGGATGCTCGGGGAGTATGGGGTCAGAGGCGCTCTCTTGAGGGCCGTCTCATCCCTGTATGAACAGAGTAGGAGTCCGGTTCGCATTGCCGGCAAGTAGTCAAACTTGTTTCCAGTGCATGTTGGACTCCGGCAGGGCTGCCCCTTGTCACCAATTCTGTTCATAATTTTTATGGACAGAATTTCAAGGTGCAGCCTTGGGCTGGAGGGGGTCGGATTTGGGGAACACAAGATTTCTTCTGTTATTGGCAGACGATGTTGTTCTGTTGGCTTCATAAAACATGGACCTTCAGCATGCACTGGGGTGGTTTGCTGCAGAGTGTGATGCGGCTGAGATAAGAATCAGCACCTCCAAGACCGAGATCATGGTGCTCCACAGGAAAAAGGTGGTTTGCCATCTCCAGGTTGGAGGAAAGTCCTTACCCCAGGTGGAGGAGTTCAAGTATCTCGGGTTTTTGTTCACGAGTGAGGGAAGGATGGAGCGTGAGATTGACAGGCGGATTGGTGCAGCGGCAGCAGTAATGCGGTCAATGTACCGGTCCAATGTGGTGAAGAAGGAGCTGAACCGAAAGGCAAAGCTCTCAATTTACTGCTCAATCTACGTTCCTACTCTCACCTATGCTCATGAGCTTTAGGTCATGACTGAAATGACAAGATCTCAGATACAAACAGCCGAAATGAGTTTCCGTCGCAGGGTGGCAGGGCGCACTCTTATAGACAGGGTGAGGAGCTCTGACACCCGAGAGAGCTCAGAGTAGAGCCGCTGCTCCTCCACATGGAGAGAAGTCAGCTGAGGTGGCTCGGGCATCTGTTTCAGATGCCTCCTGGACGCCTACCTAGAAAGGTGTTCCAAGCATGTCCCACCGGGAGGAGGCCTCGGGGAAAACCCAGGACACGCTGGAGGGACTATGTCTCTCGGCTGCTCTGGGAACGCCTCTGGATCTCCCCGGAGGAGCTGGAGGAAGTGTCTGGGGAGAGGGAAGTCTGAGGTTCTCTCCTAAGACTGCTGCCCCCGTGACCCTGCCCCGGAAAAGCGGCAGAAAATGAATGAATGAATATATAAAGGTTAAAAAATAACCCAACAAACACCAAATATATGTTTAACTCAACCATTGAGTTAAATAAATAACTCAACTTTTTTAGAGTGTAAAAAATGGATAAAATGCTTTTCTCTACCTCACGTGTTCATCTCTACAGTTTATTTATTTATCTATTTATTTGTTTGTTTACACAGCTATAATTATAAAATGAATAGTAGTCAGGGCTCAACAATAAGGACTGCCCGGGGCCAGCGTGAGAGAAGCTCGGGACAATAGACAGAATCGTTACTGGCCCGATCAAGCCACTGATGCCCTGTCACTAAAGTTTAATTTGTCTGTAAATATTTGTCAATCGCATGCAAATATAGTCAGAATCGAGAAACTGTGTGTGTTTTTAAGACTTCGAATGCTAACTTCTCTGTTTCTCTAATCTGATTGGATGTTTTGAGCACGTTTTTTTCCGTAATAACCAGTACAGCGAAGAGACAGCAACATGGCGGCAACATCAAGTGATGATGCTAAAGGAAAACATTTGTCTCTAACATCTTGGAAGCAGACATTTACAAGGGTACACCACGACTAAAAAAAATAAATGAAGTGTTTTGTACAGTTTGCCATCAGTTTGGCAGGTCAGCTATCTTATGTTTTGCAATAAAATACCTGCACATTTTGCTACTTTTGTTTGCAAAACACTTTGAATTTTGTTCATTATCTATTATTAACAAATATTGAAATTCTAGATTTACAAACATTTCGACACATTTTTATATTTGTGGCTAATAAATAGCTTTAAACTTTTTTTGGTGGGGCCAGTGAAAATATTGGCAGGGCAAGTAAAAATCTGTCATGTTTACCAGTGAACAAACCACCAGATGTCGCTGGTAAACACTCACTCATGAAACTACAAATCTGCCAGTTAATGGACTTCAACTTCATACATGCTCACCCACACACCTGCTTTCTCATCTAGCTTGATTACATTTGCACACCTGAGGACTTTCAGAGACTGATTAACACACTATTTAAGCCACACATTCACCCCTTCAGTTTGCCGAGTCTTGTTCACTGTAAAGTAGCATTATAACGCGTTTTCCTTGTCTTGGTTTCCTGTGTTTTGAACCTAGCCTTGTTTATTTAGTTATCCTTGTCTGCCGCCTGCCTTTCGACCTCTTGATTGTTAAACTGACTACGATTCTGGATTGTCCTCACATACCTGTTTGCTCCCGTATTGACCACTGCTTGCCTGACTGTGAATAAACCTGCATATTGGATCCTATCTTCTGTTGTGGTGTTACTCCCCGGCGTTACAAAATCTTAACCACTGGTCCGATCGGGCCAGTAGAAAAAATCCTTAGCGTTGAACCCTGGTAGTATTAATAATACCAGAATGGAAAAAATAACATTTAATCAAAATAACCCAGTGCATTGAGTTAAAATAACCCATAGTTGGGAAGGTGCTATAATAATCTATAGTTGGGTTAAATGTTGGGGTATTTTTTAACCCAACTATTTTAACAGAGTAAAAATGCTGGGTTGCTGTAGTAACTTAAGGGTTTGGTCAAATGTGGACAAACACATTGGTTGGATTTAAAAGCGTCATTTTAAATTGAATTACAAATATGAACCCAGGCTGCAAGGCTGCGCAGTGGGTAGCATGTTAGCCACACAGCAAGAAGGTCACTGGTTTGAGCCTCAGCTGGGTCAGTTGGCAATTCTGAATGGAGTTTGCATGCTCTCCCCATGTTGGTGTGGGTTTCCTCCAGGTGCTCCGGTTTCCCCCACAGTCCAAACACATGCGATACAGGGGAATTGATGAACTAAATTGGCCGTAGTGTATAAGTGTGAAAGAGTGTTTATGGGTGTTTCCCAGTACTGTCTTGCAGCTGGAAGTGTATGGGCTGTGTAAAACATATGCTGGAATAGTTGGCGGTTCATTCCACTGTGGCGACCTCTAATACATAAAGGGACTAAGCTGAAGGAAAATGAATGAATGAAGATGATGTATAATAAAAAAAGCTTCTTGTTTGAAGTATAGTGGCAAATATGTTCAATTTCAGGGTATTTAAATAAAGCAATTAATAAAAAACATCTTTCAAAATGTCATCAAATGATTCTTGTTCTACATATTTTGAACACGTAAATCACTGTAACAGTTTAATGGCTGTCTTCATGGGTAAAATGGATGAGAGTCATTTATTGTTCATTATTAAATGCATTTTGTCGAATGGAAATAAATAAACGTAAAGCTTTACAGTTTTAAAATGAACTTAAAATCCAAATTGTCATGTTTTATATGTAAATTTAGCTCATTTTGTATTATTATGTGACCCTTACATATTAGTTAATGATCAGTTATATAGTTATTAATAACTAAATAACATATTAAATAATTATGTTGCATGCAATAGCCAAAAACACATTAGGCTATATGCTTAAAAACGATGGACTTTTCTTTTATTCCCAAATTAATTACAATATTAAAGCTCCCGTTAAATTAAAATAACGTTTTTAGATGTTTGTATTAATATGTTATTATTAAAGATATAAATGCGCTTAAATATATATATATATATATATATATATATATATATATATATATATATATCTTCAAAAATATAAAAACTGTTAAAATATTATAAAAAATAACTTTTTAATTGAATTTAGACATATTATGTTTGTACTCCTAAACATGTTAGCTGAAAAAAAGGGGTGTACATATTTATGCGAGTTGTATCTCAGTCAAATATTAATAGTAGCTATCTTTTTAATAAACGCATTATTTATTCAGCTTTCAGTTGATGTGGCTTTTAAATCTCTCTTTTTAATTTAATTAACAGTGACGAATGTATTTATGGTCCCACGATCACATATTAATCCATAATATTGTTTACTGTTGCCTGACATTACTTCATATTTCACATTTATTAAATTGCTGACAGTTCATGCGCGTTCCCGTTATGAGCGCACTCCCGCACGCTGGACTCATTGTTCTTCGGTAACGGGACAGAGATAGAGAGAGAGAGAAAGAGAGAGAGAGAGATACTGACCGGTAGCCAACACCGATAATGATGATGATGATGATGGTTTTATTGTGCTGACATCATCATACCGGAGCTCTTCACTTTCTGACGGGTCACCGGGCTCCGGTCAGCGCGATGCGGGCGTGACAGGTGGGTTTGTGTCGGTTATAATCATCTTCTTTGTTCAATATTTGTCTCTCTGAGGGGTTATTATCAATATAATCATGTGCAGAAATGTTTATTAGTATTGTATCGCTGTATATAATCATACGCCCTCAATGTGTGGCGCGAATATTTCTCTGTCGGTAAAGTGAAGTCGTTTGTCGTGTCACAAACATCACGTTTGTCTTTTGTTTTGAAATCATATTTTACCGGTGCCGGCTACGGTCGCGCGCATCAGGAAAGCGCGTTCACTGAGACAACAACAGCATGTTCTGTCACGGATTATTTATGGGGAATCTATCATGATTGATTTCATATTTGGTTATTAATTCGTATTTACATATACTCATATGCTCGGTTTTATATTAGTATCGCTTTGTTTTATTTGATATTTTATTGTTATATTCGCTATGATTTTACTGAAGCACTCTATATTTCTGTCTTGGTATATATTTGCTGTTTACATGTTTATTGTGTATGTAATCGCAAATGTTTTGTACGTCGCGCGCCCTTGCGTCCACGCGCGGCGCGTGCTCGCATGCGCGCGCCCTCCGCTTTCATCAGGACAAAAGACCTGCAATTTCACTTCATACGAGATTATCCACAGATCAACGCGTGATTTTATTTTTGTTCAGAGATGTTTCATGAAAAGCGTAATTATTTTACTGTGTTTAAACTGTGGCTGATGAGTAATGTGCTCGTCAGGTCTATTTAACCCTGTAAAGCCTGACATATGAGGTCATAGTCATAAACGCCTACATTTACTTTTGTTTTAAATAGAAGCGTTTTTTGTGGACACTTTTACAGTTTATATATTTTAACATTTAATTTGTTTTTAGTTTTGTATTATACTTGGTCTTTAGGGTGTTTTGTCTATTAGTGTCATACAGTGAGAATGTGAAAAGTGGAAAAGCTCTGTTTTATTTAGAAAGTAAAATTATTTTGATCTGATGCTGATATTTATATGGACTAGATCAATTTCTGACTCTTTTAATGTAAATCGGTGATATACTAGGAGTGGGAAACACCCATACACACTTATTCACACACACTTTCACAACACGGCCAATTAAGTTCATCAGTTCCCCTATAGTGCATGTGTTTGGACTGTGGGGTAAACCGGAGCACCTGGAGGAAACCCACGCTAACACAGGGAGAACATGCAAACTCCACTCAGAAACGCCAACTGACCCAGCTGGGACTTGAACCAACAGCCTTCGTGCTGTTGCTAACCACTGAGCTACCGCGCCATCATGATGAACATAATGAACAAATGTTTTAGATACTGCAGAAGATCAATCCACCACTGAGGAACAGAGAAAGTAAAGGTTCTGGAAATGGCTCATCAGAAGCCTGACGATGATATTCGACGCATTATTTGTCACCAAGAAATAAAATGCTCATCTTAATAAAATAATATTTAGTTAAATAATAAAATAATGGCAGATGATGCCCTTCCAGCCACAATTAAGTACTGGGAAACAACACCCATTCACACTCACTACGGCCGATGTAGTAAATTTATTCCCCTTTACAGCGCATGTGTTTGGACTGTGGGGGAAACCAGAACATGCAAACTCCACACAGAAACGCCAACTGACACAGCTGGGACTCGAACCAGCAGCCTTCTTGCTGTTGCTAACCACTGAGCTACCGCGCCATCATGATGAACATAATGAACAACTGAACAAATGTTATAGATGCTGCAGAAGATCAATCCACCACTGAGGAACAGAGAAAGTAAAGGTTCTGGAAATGGCTCCTCAAAAGCCTGATGATGATATTCGACACATTATTTGTCACCAAAAAATTAAATCCTCATCTTAATAAAATAATATTCTGTAAAATAATGAAATAATGGCAGCCGATGCCCTTCCAGCCACAATTAAGTACTGGGAAACACCCATACACACTCACTACGGCCGATGTAGTAAATTTATTCCCCTTTACAGCGCATGCGTTTGGACTGTGGGGGAAACCAGAACATGCAAACTCCACTCAGAAATGACCACTGACCCAGCAACTTGCTGTGAGGCGATCATGCTACCCAGAGCACCACTGTGACGCCCCATTTTAACATTGAATAAGTTTTAAATTGTGTAATATACTTGATCTACTAGTATTTTTTTGTCTTAATAGTGTCGTATAGTGAGAATATGAAAGTGGAAAAGCTGCATTTTATTTAAAAAGTAAAATTAATTATATGAGTTAGATCAATTTCTGACACTTTTAACGTAAATCAGTGAGATTTTTATAACTGCAAGCAGATATGTAAGGAATATAAACATCTCTGAATCTTTAATAATATGTCTCTTGTTTTAAAAACGTATTGTGATGACTAGGGCCAGACGGAATCTGCGGACGTTTTTTGCTATTTCTGCGGAGAATTTTGGTAAAAATCTGCAGATTTCATAACTATCATATCTAAAACCTTAATTAGTGAAATAAAAAGTAATACCTTTTAAAGTTTTATTTAATGTTTAAATTGCAAATCTAATTAGATTCACTTTATTTGGTAAACAAAGCAAGTCTCTCATATAATATCTCTACTAAAAGACAGAAAATATTACTGTACAAACTGCATTGTACATCAATCAGATGAACATTTTCACATTAGTCAATAATATTACTGTAATTAATTTAAAAACTGAATAAATTTAGATTTACACACATTTACTCAAGTAAATAAACAGAAATAATGATGGGCTAAAAATGATGCCATATCTATTATTATTATTCATCATTTTACTTATTATGTAATACAACATATAATAACATTTGTTTTTAGTTTACATTTCCTTTGTTTTAAGCTTTTAGGACAAGTATGCTATAAAAAAAATCCACATTTATTTATTGATGAAGAAAAGATGAGAAGTCTGTGCATTACTTTACTCAGTTAACAGCAAATTATGCTTTGATAGATTTTTAAATAGTGCAGACACTAAAACAGCACCTCTGTGCTTGAACAGCAAAATATGAACAAACAATATTTCCAAATAGGCAAAAATATGATCAAAACACACCAGATATGTCTTGTTGATATTTTTGATGGATGAACTGCAGTTGTTTGCCCATCAATAACTGTCTGTGACCATATAAAGATATGCAAGGTCTCAAAAAAGCACTAATTTTGATGGAAAAGGATTCAGTTTTGTCAAGTTTAGCGTGTAGGCTTAATGGTTTGTATTATTGCGCACTGTCCAACATGTTTACACAAATGTTATGAAACTAATCTGCACCAAATGAAAACAACCCCCAACAAGCTAAGCTCATTCACTCATTCTCCTTCAGCTTAGTCTCTTCATTTATCAGGGGTCGCCACAGCGGAATGAACCGGCAACTATTCCATTATATGTTTTATGCAGCTGATGTCCTTTCAGCTGCAACCCAGTACTGGAAAACACCCATACACTCTCATTCACACACACACACACACACACACACACACACACACACACACACAACATATTTTATGTTATTCACACACACACTCGAAACAGCAGGTTCTGGATATTGTTCCTCAAAAGCCTGATGATGATATTTGACTCATTATTTGTCACCAAAACAATTAAATGCTCATCTTAATAAAATAATATTCAGTAAAGTAATGAACCGGTGGTGGGCAGGGTGGCTCAGCGGTAAGCAATGGTCACTGGTTCGAGTCCCGACACTACTGTGTGGAGTTTGCATGTTCTCCCTGTGTTGGTGTGGGTTTCCTCTGGGTGTTCCGGTTTCCCCCACAGTCCAAACACATGTGGTATAGGGTGTTCATGAGATGGATTGCCATACTGTATGAGTGTGTTTGTGAATGAGTGTGTATGGGTGTTTCCCAGTACTGGGTTGCAGCTGGAAGGGCATCTGCTGTGTAAGACATTTGCTGGATTAGTTGGCGGTTCATTCCGCTGTGGTGACTGTTGATAAATAAAGAGACTAAGCTGAAGGTAAATGAATTAATTTATGAATCGGTGGTGCTATATAGTGACACTGTTTTCTGTGTGTGTGTGTGTGTGTGTGTGGACAGGCGGATTAACCATATGGACAAATAAAAAACAAAAAAACTGGGGCACCAACACTCAAACTGAAATAACAAACATACTGTGTTATTTCAGCCCAGTTTTGGGTAAGATATAGACGAAACATTTATTCATTCATTCATTTTCTTTTCGGCTGAGTTCCATTATTAATCTGAGGTCGCCACAGTGGAATGAACCGCCAATTAATCCAGCATATGTTTTATGCAGCGGATGCCCTTTTAGCTGCAACCCATCACTGGGAAACACCCATACACACTCATACACTACGGACAATCTAGATCATGGCGTGCTCAATCCTGTTCCCGGAGATCTACCTTCCTGTACAGTTTAGCTCCTACCCTGATCAAACCCACCTGAACCAATTAATTAGGACCTGAAATCCACTTGATGATTACAGATTACAGGTGTGTTTGATAAGGGTTGCAACTGAAATCTGCAGGAAGGTAGATCTCCAGGAACAGGATTGGCCACCCGAGATCTAGATCATCAGTTCCCCTAAGATGCATGTGTTTGGACTGTGGGGGAAACCGGAGCACCCGGAAAAAAACCCATGCCAACACAAGGAGAACATGCAAACTCCACACAGAAAAGTCAAATGACCCAGCCGAGGCTTGAACCAGCAACCTTCTTGGCGCCACCATGACACCCCATGGACAAAACATTCTTTAATGAAATTTACAGGACCATAATTATGCTCAGTTTGTGCGTACTATTTTTCTGCTCATTTTGCAACACTCTAGTATTCATATATAGTACTCAAAGATTCAACTAGATTATTTTGTTAACTAGGCAAATTAGGCTAGTTGTTGGACAACATTGGTTTGTTCTGTAGCTGCAAATATCCACTTTAAAAATTGCCTTTATTGCATATATGTACAGCTGAAGTCAGATTTATTCGCCCTCCTGGGATTTTTCTTCTTCTAATATTTCCCAAATGATGTTAAACAGATTCAGGAATTTTTTCACAGTATTTCCTAAAATATTTTTTCTTCTGGAGAAAGTCTTATATGTTTTATTTCGGCTAGAACAGGGGTTTTCAAAGTGTGAGGCGCGCCTCCCCTGGGGGGCGCCAGAGCATGTCAGGGGAGGCGCGGGAAAAAATATAATATAATAAAAATATAATTATTAAGTTTAATTATTATATGTATTTTTTATTATATTTAAACGTTTTAATTACACAAAGCAAAAAAAAAAAAAACGTCAAAAATAAGAAAACCTTTTTTACCCAGAAGGCCATAGCTGTGAATTCGCTTCTGTTTGGCAAGCCCGCCAATACAGGTATATGCCTGCTAATACAATGGGTCGGTTTCTGAGACCCCCGATTCAAAGCTGTAATGAAGTTCACGGCCCTTTGGCCGCCGGGAAGAAGGAGGAGGAGAACCGACGCAGTTTTAAAATGATTTATTAATAACAGTGACGGCTGCTCCTCACGGAGGCTACCGTCTATACCAAAACAAACGGACGGCAGCTCCTCACGGAGACTGCCGTCAAACTGAAAGCAAAAGTAAGATATGTCCGTGCCCGGTCCTCGCTCGGCTTCCTCTGCCCTCATTTCTCCTTTTATGATCCAGAGCTCCTTCCGTGGAATCCGAGGCAGGTGCGCACCGCAGGTGTATCCACTTACGCGGTGGCCTCACTCCGTTCCCACAGCTCTCGGCCACGCCCCCTCGCCACAAAAGCCTTCAAGTTCAGGGCTTAAACCCAAAAGACGACGATATGATGATCAGTATTTGAGTTTAGGATTTACGTGGACAGGACCAGCTGATGAACCACGACCTTTATGTGTGGTTTGTCAAAATATTTTGGCTAATGACAGCATGAGACCCGCTAAACTTCGACTTTTTTGACTGGGATGGACAGTTCTTGGATCTGTTCTATTCATATTAAACCATCATCCTAGTTTTAAAAACGTTATATTAAAATACTTGTTATTACTCTGTAAATAATTGCACTTTCATGCAAATGATGATAAAAGTGTGTCAAAAGGGAGGCCCACTGTCTAAGACTTTGAAAAACCCTGGGCTAGAATAAAAGCCGTTTTTAATTGTTTTAAAGCCATTTTAAGGTCAATATTATTAGCCCCCTTAAGCAATATTAGTTTTGCATTGTCTCCAGAACAAACCACTGTTATACAATGACTTGCGTAATTACCCTAACTTTACCCTAATTACCCTAGTGAAGCCTTTAAATGTCACTTTAAGCTGAACACTAGTGTCTTGAAGAATATCTAGTCTAATATTGTGTGCTGTCATCATGACAAAGAGAAAATAAATGAATTAGAAATGAGTTATTAAAACTATTATGATTAGAAATGGGTTGAAAAAAATCTGCTCTCCTATAAACAGAAATTGGGGACAAAAATATACAGGAGGGGGCTAATGATTCTGACTTATCTGTAAATGTGTGTGCGCAGGTGTTGAGTGTGTGTCTTAGTGGACAGCATGGCTCCTCGGCCATCCTCAGGGGAGTTATGGGGGCTTCACCTGATGCCTCCTCGTATCCTGGTGGACTGCTGTTTGCCCAACGGGATCCTGGTCAGTCTGGAGTGTCTGAGAGAAGCTCCGCTGACCAGCATTAAACAGCAGCTCTTCAGCGAGGCCAGAAAATACCCACTCTACCACCTGCTGCAGGTACACACACACACACACACACACACACACACACACACACACACACACAACACATTTTATGTTTATATAGAAAAGATGTTTATGCATATAATCGTGTGCTTGACTGATGTGTTTGGCGCCATCTACTGGTGTTTCTCTAAACAGTCGCAGCTCAGATTTTCCGCTTATTAATTCTGAAAATGATTATTATTTTTGCAAATCATTATTTAATTTTAGTTAGTATTTCAGTGACTGTTCTTAGTTTTCATTTACGGTGTCTTGAAGTTTTATTTCACTTAATAAAACCATTTCTGACCAATCGTTTAGTTTTAGTTTATTAAAATAACCTCGACTTGCCTGAGCCCGCTCTGAATGCCCTCTGATTGCCAAATGAAGACGTTATTGCATGTTTTATGTATATATAGAAAAGATGTTTATGCATATAATCGTGTGCTTGACTGATGTGTTTGGCGCCATCTACTGGTGTTTCTCTAAACAGTCGCAGCTCAGATTTTCCGCTTAATAATTCAGAAAATGGTTGTTATTTTAGCAAATCATTATTTAATTTCAGTTTTCATTTTTCAGTGACTGTTCTTAGTTTTCATTTATGGTGTCTTGAAGTTTTATTTCAGTTAATAAAACCATTTCTGACCAATCGTTTAATTTTCGTTTATTAAAATAACCTCGACTTGCCTGAGCCCGCTCTGAATGCTCTCTGATTGCCAAATGAACACATTATTGCATGTTTTATGTTTATATAGAAAAGATGTTTATGCATATAATCGTGTGCTTGACTGATGTGTTTGGCGCCATCTACTGGTGTTTCTCTAAACAGTCGCAGCTCAGATTTTCCGCTAAATAATTCAGAAAATGGTTGTTATTTTAGCAAATCATTATTTAATTTCAGTTAGTTTTTCAGTGACTGTTCTTAGTTTTCATTTATGGTGTTTTTAAATATTATCTCAGTTTATAAAAACATTTTTGACCAGTAGTTTTAGTTTTCGTTTGCTAAAATAACCTCGACTTGCCTGAAGAGGTTATAAAACGTTTGACGTTTATATAGAAAACATGTTTATGTATGTATCCGTGTGCTTGACGAATGTGTTTGGCGCCATCTACTGGTGTTTCTCTACACAATGGGAAACAATGATTAAAAATAGATATAAGTTATGCAAGCCAGGCCAGCAAATTGAAGTATAAAACAAAAGTACCTCAATTATCCAGTGCTAGTTTCAGCATCTTGTGTTTTCTTTGAAAATGTTGAGTAAAATAATTTTTGCTTAAATAATTAATAAATTAAATAAATATACACAAAAAAAAAAAATAAAATTTGTTGGATCCACTACACTGACTGCGATGGCTAAATTCACTGCTTGATTAGTGAGATTACATGAGCTGGATTCACTGCTCCGAAATGCTGCACGTTAAGGACACCTGCTGGTTACAAGGAGGAAATGCAAAAAGTATTCTATTTATGCAAATCATTATTTAATTTCAGTTAGTTTTTCAGTGACTATTATTAGTTTTCATTTATGGTGATTTTAAACTTTATTTCAGTAAATAAAAACATTTCTGACCAATAGTTTTAATTTTCGTTTACTATAATAACCCCGACTTGCCTGAGCCCGTTCTGAATGTCCTCTGATTGCCAAACGAACAAGTTATAGTATGTCTATACAGATAAGATGTTTATGTATATAATCGTGTACTTGACTGATGTGTTTGGCGCCATCTACTGGTGTTTCTCTAAACCATGGGGAATAACGGAATAATAAAAATATAGATACAAGTTAGGCAAGCCAGACTAGCAAATTGAAGTATAAAATATAAGTAACTCACATATCTGGTGCCAGTTTCCGCGTCTTTGTGTGTCTTTAGTGTGTTTTTATTCCACTACACTGACTGCGATGGCTAAATTCACTGCTTGATTAGTGAGATTACATGAGCTGGATTCACTGGTTGAAATGCTGCACGTTGAAGACACCTGCTGGTTACAAGGAGGAAATGCAAAGAGAAAAGCATAATCTGAAAAAAACAGATCGCTAAAGTCACTGTTTGATTAGATTGACTTTTACAGAATGAGTGCTTATTAATTCTGAAAACGATTATTATTTTCATAAAATCATTATTTAATTTCAGTTAGTTTTTCAGCGACTGTTCTTAGTTTTCATTTATGGTGATTTTTAATTTTATTTCAGGGTAATAAATTTTTTTTTGACCAATAGTTTTAATTTTCGTTTATTAAAATAACCTCGACTTGCCTGAGCCCGCTCTAAATGCCCTCTGATTGGCAAATGAAGACGTTATTGCGCACATTGACTAATGTGTTTGGCGCCATCTACTGGTGTTTCTCTACACCATGGGAAACAATGATTAAAAATAGATACAAGTTATGCAAGCCAGACTAGCAAATTGAGATATAAAAATAAAAGTATCTCAGATATCTGGTGCTCGTTTAAAATAATTAGTGCTGTTTTTATTTTACTACACTGATTGCGATTGCTAAATTCACCATTTGATTACATTGATTACAAGAGCTGGATTCACTCGTCAGATGCGCTAGAAACACACACTGGGGACACCTGCTGGTCACAAGGGGGTAATGTGAAAAGAAAAGCACAAGCTAAAAAAAAAAAACAGATCACTAAAGTCACTGTTTGCCTTGATTATTCCACTACAGAACCAGTGCTTATTAACAATTAACGCTTATTAATTCTGAAATAATTACTATTTTTGCAAATCTGTATTTTATTTTAGTTAGTTTTACAATGTCTGTTCTTAGTTTCAATTAGTTTTTCTTTTTTTTTTAACAATTTTATTTTAGTTAATGAAAATGTATTTTGATTATTTGTTTTAGTTTTTGTTTACTAAAATAATCCTGACCTGCCTGCTCTGATTGGCCTCTGATTGGCCCACAGGAGGAGTCGTGCTACATCTTTGTCGGAGTGACGCAGGAGGCCGAAAGGGAAGAGTTTTACGATGAAACACGGCGGCTGTGCGATCTTCGTCTTTTTCACCCCATCCTGAAGGTCATCGAGCCACTGGGAAACAGAGAGGAGAAAATACTCAACAGGGAGATCGGTAAGAGTGAAGACACGAACACACCAAACACCACAACTATGAAGATAAAGATAAAGTCATTGTTCTTTTTTAATATTATTATATTACTTTATTTTTGTAAACGTCAACACAATTACAAACAAAACAAAGAAACACTCTTTATGGGAACTTACATTTTTTTAGAGTACAATATCAAACGGTAAAAAGTAAATCAACAGATAGCTAAAACAGCTAGAATAAAAGCAGTTTTACATTTTAAAAAAACATTTTAAGGTCAATATTATTAGCCCCCTTAAGCAGTATTTGTGTCTCCAGAACAAACCACTGTTATACAATGACTTGCCTAACTACCCTAACTTTACCCTAATTACCCTAGTGAAGCCTTTGCATGTCACTTCAAGCTGAATACTAGTGTCTTGAAGAATATCTAGTCTAATATTATGTGCTGTCATCATGACAAAGAAATCAGACTTCATCTGTATATGTATGTTCAGGTTTCGCCATCGGGATGCCCATCTGTGAGTTTGAGCTGGTGAAGGACCCGGAGGTGCAGGATTTCCGCAGGAACATTCTGAGCGTGTGCAGGGAGGCGGTGGAGGAGCGCGAGGGTGGAGGGGCGCACACACAGGCACTGTACGTCTACCCGCCCAATGTGGAGTCCTCGCCCGACCTGCCCCAACACATATACAGCAAACTCGACAAAGGTGCGTCTGAGTCTTTTTTACCAGCAGACGGCGCTCTAGGCTAGTGTTTAACAGTTGACGGCGCTCTAGGCTAGTGTTATACAGCAGATGGCCCTATAGGCTAACAGTAGATGGTGCAATAGGCTACTGCTTAACAGCAAACAGCGTTGTAGGCTAGTGTTATACAGCATATGGCTGTATAGGCTAGTGTTTAACAGCAGATGGCGCTCTAGGCTAGTGTTTAACAGCAGATGGCGCTCTAGGTTAGTGTTTGACAGCAGATGGCCCTCTAGGCTAGTGTTTAACAGCAGATGGCACTCTAGGCTAGTGTTTAACAGTAGGCGGCGCTCAAGGCTGATGTTTAATAGCAGCCGGCGCTCTAAGCTAACAACAGACGATGCTCTAGGCTAGTGTTTAACAGCAGACAGCTCTCTAGGCTAACAGCAGATGGCACTCTAGGATAGAGATTACCAGCAAACGATGCTCTAGGCTAATAGAAGATGGCGCTCTAGGCTAGTGTTTAACAGTAGACAGCGCTCTAGGCTGGTGTTTAACAGCAGATGGCGCTCTAGGCTAGTGTTTAACAGTAGACAGCGCTCTAGGCTGGTGTTTAACAGCAGATGGCGCTCTAGGCTAGTGTTTAACAGTAGACGGCGCTCTAGGCTAGTGTTTAACAGCAGATGGCGCTCTAGGCTAGTGTTTAACAGTAGACGGCGCTCTAGGCTGGTGTTTAACAGCAGATGGCGCCCTAGGCTAGTGTTTAACAGCAGATTGCGCTCTAGGCTAGTGTTTAACAGCAGATGGCGCTCTAGGCTAGTGTTTAACAGCAGATTGCGCTCTAGGCTAACAACAGATGATGCTTTAGGCTAGTGTTTAACAGTAGATGGCGCTCTAGGCTGGTGTTTAACAGCAGATGGCGATCTAGGCTAGTGTTTAACAGCAGATGGCGCTCTAAGCTAGTGTTTAACAGTAGATGGCGCTCTAGGCTGGTGTTTAACAGCAGCCGGTGCTCTAAGCTAACAACAGACGATGCTCTAGGCTAGTGTTTAACAGCAGACGGCTCTCTAGGCTAACAGCAGATGGCACTCTAGGATAGAGATTACCAGCAAACAGTGCTCTAGGCTAATAGAAGATGGCGCTCTAGGCTAGTGTTTAACAGTAGACAGCGCTCTAGGCTGGTGTTTAACAGCAGATGGCGCTCTAGGCTAGTGTTTAACAGTAGACAGCGCTCTAGGCTGGTGTTTAACAGCAGATGGCGCTCTAGGCTAGTGTTTAACAGTAGACGGCGCTCTAGGCTAGTGTTTAACAGCAGATGGCGCTCTAGGCTAGTGTTTAACAGTAGACGGCACTCTAGGCTGGTGTTTAACAGCAGATGGCGCCCTAGGCTAGTGTTTAACAGTAGACAGCGCTCTAGGCTGGTGTTTAACAGCAGATGGCGCTCTAGGCTAGTGTTTAACAGTAGACAGCGCTCTAGGCTGGTGTTTAACAGCAGATGGCGCTCTAGGCTAGTGTTTAACAGTAGACGGCGCTCTAGGCTAGTGTTTAACAGCAGATGGCGCCCTAGGCTAGTGTTTAACAGCAGATTGCGCTCTAGGCTAGTGTTTAACAGCAGATGGCGCTCTAGGCTAGTGTTTAACAGCAGATTGCGCTCTAGGCTAACAACAGATGATGCTTTAGGCTAGTGTTTAACAGTAGATGGCACTCTAGGCTGGTGTTTAACAGCAGATGGCGCTCTAGGCTAGTGTTTAACAGTAGACGGCGCTCTAGGCTGGAGTTTAACAGCAGATGGCGCTCTAGGCTAGTGTTTAACAGCAGATGGCGATCTAGGCTAGTGTTTAACAGCAGATGGCGATCTAGGCTAGTGTTTAACAGCAGATGGCGCTCTAGGCTAGTGTTTAACAGCAGATGGCGATCTAGGCTAGTGTTTAACAGCAGATGGCGCTCTAGGCTAGTGTTTAACAGCAGACGGAGCTCTAGGCTAGAGTTTAACAGCAGACGGCGCTTTAGGCTAGTATTTAAGGGGAAAGAGCACTCTAGGCTAGGATTTAACAGCAGATGGTGGTCTAGGCTTGTGTTTAACAGCAGACGGCGCTCTATGCCAAGAGCAGATGACGCTCTAGGCTTGTGTTTGACAACATAGGGTGCTCTAGGCTGACACAGAAGATGACGCTGTAGTCAATAGCTTTTAGTTTTCCCATAGCTCTGCCAGTGAGAGTGGTTAAGCTCAAGCGCATCAAATGAACAGCCAGTGAGAAGAAGGGGGCGGGGCATGTCAGACATTAGAGAGCATTTGATTGTATGAAGTGGCATTAAAAAGAATGTTAACCAATTTATGTGGAAGTGGCAAGCTTTGGATGTTTAAATCAGGTTTATATCTTCTAAATGTGAATTTTAACACTGTTTAAGACAAACAAAATGATACTAACATAAAAACAAACGCTATTTTAATTCAATGGCACCTTTAACATGAACATATTTCCTCACTAAGGTCTCCTGTTATTCATTTCCAGTATTACCTGTGTGTGTGTGTGTGTGTCTCTGCAGGCCGTCTGATCGTGACCATCTGGGTGATCGTGTCTCCGTCCAACTCCAAGCAGAAATACACACTAAAGATCGCGCACGACTCTCTCCCGGAGCAGCTGATCGCAGAAGCCATCCGCAAGAAGACGCGCAGCATGCATCTGTCAGCGCAGCAGCTGCGTCTCTGTGTGCAGGAGTATCAGGGCCAGTACATACTCAAAGTCTGCGGATGCGACGAATACTTCCTGGAGAAATACCCTCTCAGCCAGTATAAGGTGTGTGTGTTCGACTCTGCTCTGCACTAATAGGATGCATTAGTAAATGTTGAAGTCCAATTGAACTGGAAGCTGTTTATTTTCGTATTGTGAAGCAGTTCCTGGAGAGACAGAATATCAAATGTGAAAACAGTGGGCGTGGCTTGTTTTTTTCTACTGCAAGCTAATTGGATGTAGTTAAGCATTCAGAAAGATGGGGAGAGTTATTACTACCTAACAGACTCCTCCTCCTCACCATTTCTGTTTGTTGTCTAAACTGACAGCTAAAGGGGCGTGGTTAATTATGTTAGCCACACCCAGTACCTCAGACAGCCCTAATCTAAGAATTAACATGCATGTGATGATGATGCTGATGTGTCTGTGTGTGTGTGTTCAGTACATCAGGAGCTGCATCACGCTCTGCCGTCTGCCTCATCTGATGCTGGTCAGTAAGGACAGTCTTTACAGTCAGCTTCCCTCCAGTGGGTTCATGGCTCCGTCATACAGCCGCCGGACGCCTCAGCCAAGCCCCTGTCCTGGCGGAGGAGACCCTGGGTCCCCGCGCTCCCTCTGGGCCTTCAACACACACCTGAGGGTGCGGCTGCTGTGCGCAACATACGTCAACGTCAACATCAGAGACATAGACAAGGTCAGACACACGCACACAGAAGTACAGCTCAAATCAATTGTTTTGTTTCGAAACAGGAATTTAAATTGTTACTAATAGGGTTGGGCGATGTCGACCAATTTGGCATCGTTAGATGTCTAATGTGAAACATTGTGATGGACCATGCATCATCGTAGGCAGCGGTGAATTAATTATTTATGAATAATTAATTAATTCATAACAAATTCATTATTGGTAGCCTACCGTTTCAACTACCTGACCCGCATGGCCTTTGTTTTACCCATAACCAAATCATAAATAAATAAAGAGAAGCTACACACTAATAGTCACTAGCTGTCTTCAAGAAATGACTAAAAACTCAACTCACACCTGAAACTTGCCTACAGCACTTATTCATTGTTGCTCTTATAGTTGTGTAAATTGCTTCCTTTTCCTCATTTGTATGTCGCTTTGGATAAAAGCGTCTGCTAAATGACTAAATGTAAAATACGCTCTGCGCCCCTGCGCATGGTCTAACAGGGTTATGCTTATTCTCTTAATGAGTTCTGGGTGTGTTTTAAGCATAACGTGTATTAAACTTATCAGAGTCTCATCTCCCATTCCCTTTAAGAGTTAGTTGAGTCGTGCCATGGTGCATTTGCTATTTACATGGCGACTCTGTAAGTGTATAAACTGAACACTTCACTAGCAAGAAAACAGTTAAATGAGCCTCCTTCATTCAGTGTCTTTACTTTCTCTTTACTTTATTTTTACTCTTTACTCCTTTACTTTGGTGGAGTGAGGAACTGGTGGAAACTTCATTAGTCTACATAATTAATTTAATTTGTTAAGCACAAAGATTTTCATCAAATCTCCAGCAAAGGAATAAATGAACGATAATAATGAAGTGTGGTCAGAAAACTGAGTTCAAGAGTTCCCACTTAGATATACTTGGCACTTATAGCAGGTTTGGCATGCTGTCCTGGGAGAGATCCCTGAGCTCGGAGATATTTGAGCCCAGGGCTCCCGCCCGGTCTAGAAGCATATCAGGAGAACCGAGATCAGGTAGGTCTCGATCACTCCCCCTTTAGAAGGGGAGAAAAAGGAGGAGATGGGGTGGAAGGGTGGATTCTTCCAAAACGAAGATTTGCAATAAGGAGAAAGTGATCCCTTTATATTAAGCTAGGATCATTCTGATTGGATTATTACTGATTACGGATGAGTGGCCAGCGGTGCACAATCATATCACGTGCTCCTCTCTAAATTAGTTTATGAAACTTCACTTATATCCAAACACAAGTCCTATTCTTATGTCTCATATGCAAGTGCCTTAACACAACTCTATTTCAGACCAGGACACCTATGACTCCACAAAGTGGCATGAATGGATTTGCTATTTACACAACGTGATGCCTGAAAATAGCAGCAAATCACACCAAACACGTCTTCCATCTTTAATAATCGTGATTAATAATTTATGATTTTTTCCATAATCGAGCAGCCCTAGGAAAACTGCACTCAGTTTCCTGTGAGGGTTGGGTTTAGAGATAGGTTTGGGGGAGGGCCATAGAAAACACAGTTTGTACAGTATTAAAACAATGGAAACCCATCAAATGTCCCCACAATTCACAAAAACACTTTTTGCGTGTCTCAGATCTACGTCAGGACAGGAATATATCACGGAGGAGAACCGCTGTGTGACAACGTCAATACTCAGAGAGTACCCTGTTCCAACCCAAGGTAACACACACACACACACACACACACAAACACACACAAAACGTAAAAATCACATGACACTGAAGATTGAAGTAACAACGCTGACATTTTTAATCACATCAATAAATGACAATGTTAACACATATTCACATATTAAACATATATTTTCTGCACAAACGCAGCAGAGCTTTTATTATGACACAATCCGTCACTTGTGTTTTTTCCGCTCGTGATCACATGGAGAAGAAGCACACATGGAGAATTTATCCCACTAAATACATTTTAGGCTTCTGTTATAACACAGATCTGTGCAGTTGAATAAAGCACACAACATATTAAAGCCTTGCTGCTGATTCCCTGACTTCTATAAAAGAAAACAGAAATTGAGGATGTGTGACGTCCTTAGGATGAACACACTCACACACTCTGGCTGTTTCTCAATATGCGTTCTTCAGTGGCCTTGCGTCCTCGTGTTCTCGTGTTCTCGTCATCATCGGCTGCCAAAGATCAGTTCCAGTACTCATGACCGCGAGAACAGACGCGTGAAACTTCCCGGATGTGATCTTGATATCGAGGTCGCACCGATACAGACTTGAGCACCTATCTTGCGCTAGAAGTCCCAGAAGTCATTGCGACATGTTATGTTAAATGCAAAGATGACATTGTTTGTTATGACAACTTGACATAAATACATCACAACCTTCAACCTTGACCTAACCAAGACAACAACACTTGTCATAAATCTGTCATAAACATGATCGTCATGATGCTTTATAATTGTCATGAATATTTTTCTAATCACATTTTCACTGTTTTTGTCATTATAATGTCTCAATAAAAGTGTCGTTACTCTCTCAAATTATTTTAACAGCTATATTAATATTCAGTAATGACAATTTATTAACATATTCAGCTTGTACCGCTGTAGCAGAAAATATATATTAATAATGCTCTTATAAAAATCATGACATATTTATAATCAGTGGCGCAAAAAGGGGGTATGCAGTATATGCAGCGCATAGGGGCGCCACACATGGGGGGCGCCATTGTGCCACAACTATTTTTTAAATTATCCATATTAAAAGTTTCAAATAATATATATTAATAATAATATATATATATATCTCTAATATATAATATAATAATAATATTAATTAATTAATTATATATATATATATATATATATATATATATATATATATATATATATATATATATATAGTTAAAATATTTATTTAGCATTTTACATGCGTATAATATTGTATTTTATTAAATTAAAAAATCATTCCACCCCTCCCCCCCATTTTTCATACCATATACATGTTTTTATGAATTTATTATGTATCATATTGATTCATCAGGCCTTTTGGTAACTTCTTAGCTCAAAACTATTTTAATTTTAGCTACAAACAAAGTTATAACATTTCAATTAAATAGAACATTTCACACAGTTTGTTTCTGTTTTTTTTACACTAAACATTTGACAGTCTTTTTTATTTCACTTTTAGCAGTTTCAGTCAATTGTTCTGGCATTATGCATGTGAGAAGTAATCACAATGTTCTTTTGCCCTTTAGGACTCCCATGTCTATGATTTTGTTTTGACAAATGTAGTACAAAAAGTCCAAAAGCAAGGCTAGTCAAGGTGATATAATCATTTAGTAAGGTAAAATTAAACTGAGATGAATTTTGGGGTGGTATGAGATGCATTTCTTTGCGACTTAACATGCTTAATGTAATTATACCTTTTACTACTTCATACTATTTCAGTTGTGTTCAGAACTGTGAAACTGTATTTTTTGAAGCATATTGAAATCTTTATGAAAAAATATCTTTAATTTATTGATGGAAATATTTTCCACATTTTATCACTTGCCTGTTTTAAAATATAGTTGGATTGAGAGGGGGGGGGGGGGGGGGTCGGAAAAGTTGAAGCCGCATACCCATCAGTTAATGTGCAGTTGCGCCCCTGTTTATAATGTCTCATGACAATCATGTTTATGGTTGATTCAGGTGTTGTTGTCTTGGTAAGGTCAAGTTGTCATGACAAAGACTAAAACAGCTTTACTTGTCAAGTTGTCATAACAAACGATGTCATTTTTGCATTTGAAATCACATAAGCGAGCGAATGACACATAATAACAGTTGCCATAAGCATGCATACAATCTCATTCACCTTCATAACATGTGTCAAATCATGATCATAAAGGTTTATAACGATTATAAACAGCCCTTCAAGTAAAAGGTTAACAAAATATCTTGTGCCTTTAGCTCAATTGTTGGGTTTGTGACCCAATGCTCACCCACATACCTGTCCTCTCTGTCATGTGACCCACACAGGTGGAACGAGTGGTTGTCGTATGATATCTACCTGACGGACGTCCCTCGTTCTGCACGTCTCTGTCTTTCCATCTGCTCTGTCAAGGGCCGCAAGGGGGCCAAAGAGGTGATTTTTACCTTTACTGACCCATTTACTGACCTGCTGATCAACTGTGTGTGTTTTATTGTACAAGTGTTTGGTGTAATTTGTTAAAAAGTAACTAGTCACAGTAATTAAATGAATTTTCAGCAGAAAAAGTAAAGCAATGGATTAATAACAGCTATTTTAATTACAGTTAGTTATACTGTACATGCTTCTACACATTCATTTTCCTTCGGCTTAGTCCCTTATTTATCAGGGGTCGCCACAGCAGAATGAACCGACAACTATTCCAGCATACGTTTTACACAGCGGATGCCATTCCAGCCACAACCCAGTACTGGGAAACACCCATACACACCTATTCACACACACACTCATACACTACGGCCAATTTAGTTAATCAATTCCCCTATAGCGCATGTGTTTGGACTGTGGGGTAAACTGGAGGACCCGGAGGAAACCCATGCCAACACGGGGAGAACATGCAAACTCCACACAGAAATGCCAACTGACCCAATCGGAACTAGAAATAGCTACTTTCTTTCTGAGGCCACAGTGCTAACCACTGAGCCACCGTGCCGCCCATGCTTATGTACTGTATGTCAATTGAACAGTTCTATACAAATTTATTCAGAGTAATTGATATATTTTGCTGAATAATCTATTTTCTGACCAAAGAACATTTATCAAATAATTATATATGCGAGAAATTAAAATGAGTTAACCCTTGTGTGCTTTTGGGTCGTTTTCATCCACTCTGGGGTGATTTTGAGTCTTAATTTGGTCTTAATTTTCGCTGTGTTTCAGCAAACAGACTGACTTTCGGCGACAAATCTTATTCTGACACACATTTTGGGAAAATACTTTGAAAATTTAGTTCACCCTTACACTCTAGGCCAATTGACTTCCCTTTCATTATGTCGGGGCCTGTTTTTGCCCCATTGACCTCTATTATAATCACATTTACTGATTGCAAAGCTGAAGAGTACACATTATACAGTCTGTACAGTACAAACATCATTACAGCAATGGAGAGTCCCCGTAAAGATAGCTGTACCTGTGTGTGTGTAGGAACACTGTCCGCTGGCCTGGGGAAACATCAACCTCTTCGACTATAAAGACACGCTGGTCAGCGGTAAAGTGGCTCTGGGTTTGTGGCCGGTTCCTCACGGGCTGGAGGATCTGCTCAACCCCATCGGAGTGTCCGGATCCAACCCAAACAAGGTCTGAAAATCAGAGATGCACTGACATTAAATAGCTAAACCACAAACAAAATGAATATCTCAACATCTAATTCAGATCCACAGTTAAAAATGACAAATCTTTCCACAAATGCATCTGTTGTACGTTGTGAATAGCTAGTGCTAGTGAACCTGTTGGTACTCTGCATTGAAAAAAATATACATGTTTAATTTTTCATTACATTTAAAGGGCACCTATAATGCAAAAGTCACTTTTATAAGGGGTTTAAACCCAGTTGTGTGTCAGTAGTGTGTGAATATCTCCAGCCTCTAATATTAAACATGAATTAATTGTATTGTTTATAATCAGACTTGATAGAAACAGTCTGCAGAAACCAATGACAAAAATGTAAAAAAAAATGTAAACCAATGTAAAAAATATGGACGACGCGACAGCCCCTTTTCCCATTGAACGCCTTGAGGGCAAAACGCCTGCTTGACGGGCACAAACTGTCGCAAAAGACTGCTGAAATTGGAGCCAGACATGCGCAGAAGGACTGTCTGATGGAGCCAGAGGAGGAGCCGCGAAAATGAGCAGAGTCGAGCTTCCAATCAAACGCTTTATGTAAAATCAACCACGCCCCCCGAACTGCTCAGCATGCGTTTGCTGTCATATCAACACAAATGGATGTAATGACGTTAACAAATATGAGGGTTTTTATATTCAATCGCGCCAGCTCCGGGCCGCAGCGCATAACCTACTCACGGTGTTGCGGGCTGATTCCGGCTCGCATGCGGCAGCGCCGTCTTGCTCGGCCGCCGCATCTGGCTCGATTGACTCGGGCTGGAATCGGGCAGTGAGTCCAGGCATCCGGAGAAGGTCCAGCTAAGGTAGTCAGTCTGAGCTCTGAGGGGTAAGTCTCCGGCAGGCGAGAATCTAGCCGAACTGGCCCGAGTGTATTTTGCCATCTGGGTGGTTAGGCGTGTATCAGCAAACTAATAAGCCCGAAAAAAGCTCTGACCTTAGCGAATAAACAGTGTTCCACCAGGATCATGTATGTCAGAAACTGTAGTTTACTGCTGAACTCATTTTATCATAGTAAAATATCACAGAAATCGAGTAATAACACTTCAGTCTCCTGCCGAAGCTCAGACGTGCTGCTTTGAGAAACTGTCAATCACAGCTGTCAATCACGATGACACGCCCAGCATTAAATTACTGCTAAAAACAAACTGTTTACAAAAATGAAGATCTGCACCTATTTCAGCACAATAACCAGTGCCTTAATCGACCTGAACCATCTTTCGGGACATTTTATTGCAAGTGTAATAATTTTTTTTATTTGGGCTCAAGTCTCCTTCATTAACACGGAGGAGGCGGGCTTTATGACTTGTACTGCAGCCAGCCCCCAGGGGGCGATCTAACGGCCGAGACCTTCACTCAAACGCAGGCTTGCGGTAGACTTGGCAGAAACACTTTGATTGACATTCTCCCTTTGTAGGTGTGATCAGAGAGGGAAAGCCCCGCCCACTAGTGCCCATCTCTCCCTCATTAGCATAGGACGTCAGTATTGTTTTTATACCTGCCACTATGCTGACGCACAGGCATCTGTAGCTCCGCCCTCTTCTGAAAAAAGCACAATCTCATTTGAATTTAAAGTGACAGTCACCTAAACGCCACAATTAGGATCCAAGCCTAAAAGGGTCAGTTTCAGAGCATTAGAGAACTTTATCTGAGGGTATTTTGAGCTGAAACTTCAAACCTTGTGTGTTCAGGAGACGCCGTGTGTGGAGCTGGAGTTCCCCTGGTTTAATCAGACGGTGGTGTTTCCTGACGAGCAGCAGATCGAGGAGCACGCTAACTGGAGCATCTCTCGTGAGCTGGGCTACAGCTACTGTCTGGGGCTGGTACACATGTACACACACACACACATTTAATCATACATACACACACACTCATTCATATGAACTTACATATAGACAGACACAGACTCATGCTAACACGCACTAATTCATTGATACACACTTAGACACACACACTCATGCAAACTTACTCTTGTGCACACACCCACACACACACATGCAAACACATACATACACGCTCACACACACTCATTCATTCATTCACACTTAGACACACACTCATGCACACTTACTCGTGTACACGTACACACACACACACACACACACACACGGATGCATGCTCATTCACACATTCATTCATATACACACATGCAAACACTCATTCACACAAACACACACACAAAGGCTCATACACATTCATTCATACACACTTACACACACTCATTCACATACACGCAGACACACACACACACACACACACACAATTATACAAACTGAAACATGCACACTGTACATCAAACACATACTCACACACTTATGTACACTTACATACTCACACGCATACTCACAAACACACTCACACATACTGAATGCATACTTACACACACAGGCATACTAGAATACACGTGCATATACAGACGCATTCACACATAGACACACGCTTACGCATACGTTCACAAACTCATACACACTCTTGCACGCGCATGCATACATGCAAACACTCAAACACACACAGACACATTCTCACACACATGCACTTACACACACACAGACAAACACACACTCATTCATATACACTTACACATTCATACATTCACACTCATACACATGCAGGTACACAAACATTTACACACTCACGCACACACACTTAAGCACATGTGCATACGGGATCACACACAGACAAAAACTCACACATTCAGTCACACACAAACTAACACACACTCAAATGTGCACACATACACACTTACTCATATGTGCACATGTTTGCATACACACCTGATAACTCACTCTGCATCTCTCTGTGGCCAATCAGAGCAGCCGTCTGGCGTGTGACAGCAGCATCTCTCAGGCGGATGCGGAGCAGCTGCGCACTCTCTGCAGCCGAGACCCGCTCTATGAGCTCTCAGAGCAGGAGAAAGACTTCCTGTGGAGACACCGGTACACACCTTAAACTCAGTTCATCAGATCATGCAGTGTTTGCTTCGTGTTATAAGAAAGACGTGCTTATTTATTGATCATCACTCATCATTGATCATGTGTGTGTTTCAGGCACTACTGTGTGAATATTCCAGAAAGTCTCCCCAAACTATTGCTGTCTGTCAAGTGGAACTCACGAGACGAGGTGTCACAGGTATGACACATACACACACATATGTAAACACACACACATATAAACATACACACATAAACACATATATAAGCACACACACATACACACATATATATATACAAACGCACATAAACACTTATACAAACAGACACAAACACACATAAATGCATATATAAACACACACACACATAAACACGTATAAACACACACACACAAAAAACATATATATATACACACACACATAAACGCATATATAAACATACACACACACACACATACACATAAACACGTATAAACACACACACACACACACACACACACACACACAAAAACATATATAAACACACACACACATAAACGCATATATAAACACACACACACACACACACACACACACACAAACACGTATAAACACACACACACACAAAAAAACATATATAAACACACACACACAAACGCATATATAAACACACACATATACATATATAAGCACACACACATACACACATAAATATACAAACACACATAAACACTTATACAAACAGACACATACACATAAACGCATATATAAACACACACACACATAAACACACACACACCACACACACAAAAAACATATATAAACACACACACATAAACGCATATATTAACACACATATACATGTATAAACACACACACATAAACGCATATATAAACACACACAAACATATATAAACACACACTTGAACACTTATTTAAGCACACACATATAAACACAAACACACGTAAACACATATATAAACACACACACAAACACATATAAACACACACATAAACACACACACACGCATATATAAACACACACATAAACACATATATAAATACACACACAGACACAAACACACGTATATGAACACACACACACACACACACGTAAACACATATTTAAATACACACATACACATAT